AAGAGATAGTGGTAAGTTAAAAAAATATATATCAGAATAGTGTAAACACTGTACTACCATTTGTCTTTAAAATTATTATATATGTACATGCATATGTATATATATGATTTTATTTATTTTACTTTTTAATTTTTATTGAAGTGTAGTCAGTTATAATGTGTCAGTTTCTGGTATACAGCATAATGTCCCTGTCATGCATATATATACATATATTCATTTTCGAATTCTTTTTCACTAAAGGTTATTACAAAATACTGAATATATGTGATTTTAAATGTAGAGACACTCTCAGCAGAAATAGATGTACCTTATAACCAAGAAACTGATAACACTGGTAGCCTCTGGGAAGGAGAAAAGTAAACGAGGGGAGGGAGGCAAGTTTGCACTGCATACTCTCTGGTACCTTTTAAATTTTGTACCATAGGCGTCTGTTACATAATTAAGTAAAAATAAAGTAATTCATTTTAAAAACAATCTTGGACATGCTATTTACCAGTTCAGTGATGCTGGTCATTAGGCTAGGCCCTTATCTGTAAAATGCAGGTGATAATGCCTTCACTTTGTAGAACTGGAAATATTAAACAGAGTAATGCATGGAAGTCACTTAGTATAATGCCTACCTGCTAAGTAATTAATAGCTGTTAGCTGCTGCTATTAATATTATCATTATTTATATTATTATGGTTTATTATCTTGTAGGGTAATTGAGAGAATGAGCTTAATAAGATATATTGTATACATTAGCACAGTGCCTGACACCACACAGTCCATGTGTTTGTGTGTTTCTTTTTAACACAATGCAAATAAATGTGTGTGTGCATATATTTTTTCTTTTACGGAAACTAGGATCATGTTCTACATACTGTTTTTGTAACCTGATTGTTAATACTGAATACTTTTTAAGCATTTTCCTGCAACGTTAATTTTCAGAAAGACTCGTATTTTACAGTGATAATGGTAGACCAGCAGTACACTCTGGGAGAAAGAGGAATGTTAGCAGTCGGAAACAGCAGTGCAGAAGGACTGCAGCAGTGCAGGCTCCCTGGGTCTCAACATCAAGAGGTGGTGGAAGGCACCCGGGAGCCAGCAGTTCACTGTCGCTTGCTGGCCTTGAGCTGTCAGAAAAGCTGTGTAACCCCTCTGAGCCTTCCTACCTGCAGCATTCTCTCGAGCATTAAGAATAATTTAAAGTGACAAATCCTGGGAGAAGGGGCACAACAAATAATTATGAATTGCTCCCAGTGTTTTGAATTAATCCAGTAGTGTCCATAATGAGGTGTGTGCACAAAGATTCGTAGAGAGTAAAAGTAAATATTACAACTAAATGTTTCTATTTAATTTGAATCTCTTTCACAATCTCTATTTTTTGTTTTATTTAAAACACATTAATTAGTACCACTTTTTAATAATAATAATAATAATAATAATAATAATAATAATAATGAAAAGTTTGTAACTTGAAGGTGCATGCTCAAATTCTTTTCACTGATAGGAATATACAAAATTGTGCCTAGGGTATTATTTCCAGCCTGTGTGGTATAAATTAATTTCTCCTATATAGTGGATTAATTTGACCTAAACTTTGAACCTCGATCTCAAAAGGTCAAGGAGTAGTTTGCCAACTTCATGTTATACCATAGTTCAGTCCTTGGACATTTCAAAAGGATTACTCAAGTAATAATAATAATAGTAATAATAATATCACATTGTATTTTACAAAGCTTTCCAGTGCTTCACAAATAATAATACAGAAACAAGCTTAGACAGGAGAATAATCACTGATTCTCAAATGTGACTGCTTCATATGTAGTTGTAAAAGTGTTAATGGTGGTATTAAAGTTTGGTGTATATTTACAAGGGAAAAAGAAAGTTGAGGTTTTCGTAGCACAGAAAAACAGTACCTTTAAAAGTGAAATCTGAAATCATGAAAAAAAATTCAACTTCCCTAGTAATCAGGAATGATTACTGACTGCAGACTGACTGCAAATGCAGATCGAAACTTAAGTACAGTTTCTTGCCCATCATATTGGCAGAAGTGTTAGAGTCCGATGATTTTCCAGGGTTGCTAAGGATGCTTTGGTGCAGTGGTGTAAATCGCCACAGCCAGTTCGGAGGACAGTTTGGCGACATTTTCGGAGATAAAAAATATTCATTCGTTGTCTCTGCATCTGCCCTAGAGAAATACTTTTACGCAAAGAGGCACATACAAGCATGTTCATTGTGGCTGTTAACAGCAGTTGGAGACAGCCTTCTTTGGGGGAACAGTAAAAAAAATTCTGATTTAAAAAAATTTTAAATATAATTCACATACTGTAAACTTTATAATTTTAAAATGTACAATTCAGTGAGTTTTAGTATATTCACAGGGTTGTGCAACCACTGTCTAATTTTAGAGCATTTTTATCACCTCGTAAAGAAAGCCTCTACTCATTAGTAGTCACTCCCATTTTCCCCTTCCCCTTTCACCTGGCAACCACTAACCTTACATTCTGCCTCTAGATTTGTCTGTTCTGGACATTTTGGATAAATGGAACCCATACAATCTGGCTTTTGGAGGCAGGGGTAACTTTTTATTGAGATATAATTCACATAACCATACAAGTTACCCATTTTAAATGTACAGTTCAGTGATTTAGTGTATTCAAAGAGTTGTACAACCACCACAACAATCAATTTTAGAACATTTCATCACCACAAAAAAAAAAAAAAACCCATACTGTTTAGCTGTCACCCCCGAAACTCTCCTCCCCAGACCTCTGCAACCATTTCTGTCTCTCTAGATTTGCCTGTTCTGAATATTTCATATAAATGGATCATAAAAGATGTCTTTTGTGTCTGGCTTCTTTCACTTAGCATGTTTCAAGATTTAACCACACTGCAGCATATATGAGTACTTCATTCCTTTTTATTGCCAGATAATATTCCATTGTGTGGATATATCACATTTGTTTTATCCATTCATCAATTGATGGACATTTGGGTTGTTTCCACCTTTGGGCTAATACTGCTGTTATGAATGTCCGTACAAGTTTCTGTGTGAACATGTTTTCTGTTCTCTTGGATGGAATTGCTGGGTTGTATGGTGACTCTGTTTCACTTTTTGAGGAATTGCCACACCTTTCCACAACCTTTGTGCCATTTCACATTTCCACCAGCAACATATGAGAGGGTTCCAGTTTCTCTATATCCTTGCCAATACTTATTTTCCATTTTTAAAAAATTATAGCCATATTGGTGGGTGTGAACTGGTATCTCGTGGTTTTGATTTGCATTTCCCTAATGACTAATGATGTTGAGCATCTTTTCTTGTGCTTATTGGCCATTTGTATATCTTCTTTGGAGAAATATCTATTTAATCTGCTGCATCTTTTTGCTTTGCTGTAGAGCTGTTAAAAAGGTATGAGGCAGATCTGTATGTAGTAACCCCTGATCTTAACTCTGAGCAAAATAGCAAATAGTAGAAAGATACATTATAGGACCATAAACTTTGTACAAATACACAGAGATATGTCATGTGTGTACATACACACACACCTTAGTACCGTATGGTTAATATAAATAGGTGAGAGGGTAGAGAAGGGTCTGGTAGAATATTCCCCAAATGTATCAAGGTTGTTGGTTACCTTGGGGCAGGAAAAGAGAAAACCAAGATGGGAGTGGGGGCAGGATCTCAACAAAAGGGACTTTTGTCATATTAATAATATGTTACAAAGTATTCATGAACTATTTGGTTCATAAAAATTTGTATGAAAACTCCTTAACATGTGTACACAATTTAAAAAGATGAGAAAAATGAAGCAAGTAGGAAACACCAACTGGCGAGGAGTTAGAATCAGTGCTTTCATGCCACGTGGCAAGTGAATGCACAATTACTGTTCTGAAAATATGATCATCGACTCCCTTTGTAGCTCAGATCTATTTTGTCTTGTTCTTTTTTCCTCTTTATCAAACTAGTTTTATTGTTGTTTTACTAATATATAACAGTGCAAATAATGGAGGTTCATAAAGTTAAAATTACTTACCTCCTTTCTTCACCTCAAACCCCTTTGTCCCCACAGCAGTTAGTGTTGGTGCAGCTTCTTTTCCGAATAAACTTATGTGTTCTGAAATTTTCTCCTCACTGCACCCAGTAAGGTGTGTTTATTTGGCTTTCTGTTGTTGATGGGGAAAAGCTCCTTCCCCCTACAGGGGAGAGGGAAGTCTTTGTCTTCCCACGTCTGTGACAGTGGTCTTCAGCCTTAGCAGAGATTGTGATTTAGCGGGTCTGGAGTTCTGCTCAGGTGTCTTTATTTTATAAAAAGCTCCCATGGTGATTCTGATGAGTCCACAGGGCTAAGAATCATTTATCTAGTGAGTAACGGAGCAATCATAAATTGGACCCATGATGCTTCTTTGAGAATTATTTTTGGTAGGTTCTTTATGAGAGAGTAATGAGCCTGTCAGCTTTGTGGAAACATGCCTGAACTCAGATGATCTGTTTTGTTCCAGGAATCTCACGGAATTTTTACTTTAGGTTATTTTCAGCACTGGGGCTTTATCATGACTAAATACATAGAGCTGCTGTCTGAGTCTGAGAAAGTGATCTTGGATTCCTTTTTGAAAGTGGTAGGAATAAGCAGTACAGGGCAACCTTAGCTTGGAAGCTTTCTGCCATTTCACATTGACAGTGAGTGGCTGTAGCAAAAATGACAGATAGTAAATCTTCCATGCCTGGAAAAGCATCCCTGGGTCTTTTTTTGTAAAGCTTTTTCTCCCTCCACCTGCCTCCTGGTAATAGTAGACTTCCTTAGAGTATGTTTGCCTGATACGCAAGTGAGAAACTCATGTGGCTCATAAAACTCTACACAGGTTTCCATTCTTATGTTTTCAGATATAAAACTTGCAGAAATCCATAAAAACCATTCAGAGATGCAATAAGAATCAGTACCTTTAGAATAATAAGCCTGAGTAATCTTTCTCAAATCTTAAAGTTTTGTTAAACTTTACATTTTCTATTCTAGGTATTCTCATGGGAGCAGTTATAAAAATTATAGAGTTTAAAAAACTGGCAAATTGGAAGGTAGGTTTATCTAACTGTTCATTTTTTAACATAATTACAGTTTTTATTGGTTCTTAATTTTAGTATCACTGGTGGTTATGGTAGGGTTTTTTAAATATTATTTGAAGTACATATTGTCTCATTAATTTTTTTAAGATTCTGTTAGGTTGAGGGTTTATATCCTTATAAGTGAGGGTGTTTTAAATTTTTTTTAATCTGAATTTTTTGAAAAAGCATGAATCACACTGTTTCAAGTTAACATAGAAGCATTCAATGCCATGTTTTGTATGTATTTGCATTTTTATAGTCTTACCTGCTGTATAGGGAAGAAATGCTCTAATTAGCATTAAACAGTAGCAATGTTTATTGCTCCTAATTCCATTATGACAGCTGAGGATAATAAAACATTATCTGTCCAGCACTGTAGACCTTACAGAATGCCTTATATGCTGTATGTAGCTTCTGTTATCCTCATGACGACCATGGAGGTAGTTACGATCCCTGTTTTTCCTGATGAAGAAAGTGACCTTGGAGAGGTTGGGACATACCCGGCATCACAGAGCTAGACAGTGGTTGAGCTGGGTCTTGTGTCTAGGCCCTCTACTCCTGTTTGTTCTATACTTTCTCCACCACACCATGCTGTCCTCAATTCGTGGATGTTCACACCCTTATGTTTACACAGTGGTTATTAGAGCCGGAGCATCATCTTGTGGTACAAGGACTAATTGAAACTCAAGTTTCAGCTTAAACTTTGAGCATCCACATTGAGTAGGGAGCTTAGCAAGTGTGTAACAAAACTGACTTTACAGAGGGAAGTAAGGTCCATTTCAAAATATTAAGAGAATCATGGTTGAAAATGGATCACATTTGAGCCCCTCCTACTTTGATGCGGCTCCTAGGTGTGAGATTTAATTTACATGTGGAACTGTGGAGTATAAAATTTGCAAAACAAGCCTCGTAGTCTGCCCTAAAACACAGTTTGAAACTGTTACAAATAATACTCAAGATATATGTATTAAATGAATTCTCGGAATATATATTGAGCTCGGAATATTTACAGGACTCCCCTCAGTGGGGGAAGGGGCCGGGCAGGCCCCACTGGAGCACATGTGTGTGACACCCCTGCTTTCCTGCAGCTGGGTGGATGTAACCACCCTCACAGTGTCTCATTCTAGGGTAGGGAGCGCAGACTGTAAACCCTTTCTCTAATGTCAGACTGGATTATAGCCCGGTGTATAAAGACCATCTGCTGACACATTTTGTTTGATTTAAAAATCAGTTGATCAAAGTTGTAATTGATTTTAAAACAAAAAATCATTATTTTATTTTAAAATACTATTAATCTGCATAAAATTCTAAGAATTTCACATAGAAGTTTGAACTTTCAGCTTCTCTTGAAGAACACCAGGCCCACATTCCAGCCAGCGGAGATCTGAGGCACTGAGCGCATGGGCTCCCCCGGGGGGTGTGCTGTGCAGCCCTGGGAAGCCTGTGAGTTGGTGATCTCTGCTCTGAGTAGGAGGAAAGGTTATCCTTCACTTTTAGTTTTATATGCTTCAATATGACTAAATTTATTTTTCAACGGATGTTAGTTTTCAAGTTATATAATAATAATATATTTAATAGTATAGAGGAGTGAACCAAAGCTGGGTGGTGAATGTAATTAAGTACATGAAGAACCATCCAGGCAGCCAGTGCTTGGCCTGAGGAAAGGGCAAGGCTTCTAGGCTAAGACATTTGGGGCAGGCTTTTCTGGAAGAACGGGTGTTTGTGGGAAGCCAAAGCATCAAGCAAGACACCTGCTTGAAAACCCAGGGCTACAGGAAGCAACAGGATATAAGAAAAACAGTGAAGGAGTTTGGTGGGGTTTTTTCATGTAATTCTGTTTCCAAACTGTCCTGCCGGGCCTGCCTTCTACCTGTGTCCTCATATGCTTAGTATATTTCTTGAATGTGTGTCTTTTTCTGTCTCTTATAAGGACCCTTTCATTGGGTTTAGGGCCCACCCTAATCCAGTACAATCTCAGCTGGATTCTAACCTTAATTCCATCTGCAAAGACCCTCTTTCCAAATCAGGTTGCATTCTGAGGTTCCAGGTGGACATAAACTGGAGATGGAGGACACTGTGAGCCCACTGCCGTTGGGTTCCCCTTTTACTCAGGGGAAGTTTGGTTTCTGGAACTCCAAAAGAGTCTCTGCAGTGGTCCTGCTGCACAGATCCTGCAAATAGATTGCTCCACAAAACGGGGAGATTGGCCCATTTCTTTTCACATGGCCCCAGTCTGAGTCATGAGCTTGTTACACGGGCAGTTATTTTAAGACTTAATAAGGCATTTTCAGAAGTCATCATTTGCTTCTATTTTGAGCCTTTTTGAATGTTATTTTAGTCTTTATGGTAACAGCCGTACATTTGTAAGAGTACATTGTCATTCCTTTGAATAGGGATTTTGACAGGATATCAGACTGTCAAGGTTGTGGCATGGAAATTTTCATATGAAAAGGGCCTGATTTTGCAGGATTAAGTAGACTGTGTATTACATGTAGTCATTTTGGGTTTGGGAACAAGTATGTATTTTCCCCCACTTCACCAGCATTTAGAGAGCTATGTTAATATAGAAGATGAAATTATTATTCATCCCCCCAAAGCTGGCTGTATTCTAAAAATACCTTTCACAGTGGTACTTAATATTTGAATCTGAAAGCATGGCAAGGGGCTTGCTTTAGAGCCACGTCCCAAGTTGCATGGACACCAAGTGAGGACTGTTTCATCACAGTCAGATTTAGGACAATAGCATGGTTGTCTATTACCGGCAGAGAAAAGGCAGAACTGTTTTAAACATATGTAGGGTTTACTCTTTCTCCAAGTGGATTGTTTCAGGTTTTCCTTTTTCCTGGAGGAGTCCAATTTGTGGACTGTTTTTGAAAGTGTTTTATTTGAATTGAAATGTTTTCTTTGTTAAAATTAATTTTCTTTCCTTACTAAAGAGTAAAAATCATACTGCTGTGTGTTTGGAAGCAGTTTATTCCGCTATTTCTTTTGCTGGTCACCTTTTAAAACCACTTGTCCTACATTTTTAAATGCAGGTTTTGTTTTGAGGTTTTTGTTTGTTTGTTTCTGTTCCTCCTGTTTGGTTGTATTATCAGGTAGTGATTTAAATATTTACATACTGGACCAGGTTCTAAGAGAGCAATTACTTTGGCTCTTCATTGATGGATTTCTTTCTTTTTTTTAATTGTCTTTTTTTTTTAATTGAAGTTTAGTTGATTTACAGTGTTGTGTTAGTTTCTGATGTACAGCATAGTGATTCAGTTATACATGTATATATTCTTTTCCGTTATAGGTTATTACAAGATATTGAATGTAGTTCCCTGTGGTATACAGTAGGACCTTGTTGTTTATCTAGTTTATATTTAGTAATTTATATCTGCTAATCCCAAACTCCTAATTTATCCCTCTCCTTCCCTTTTCTTCTTTGGTAACCATAAGTTTGTTGTCTAGATTTATTTCTTAATTACACAAAGTCCATGCCTCTGAAAATACCCATTTTATATTTACAGGAAGAAGAAATGTTTCGTCCAAATATGTTTTTCCTCCTCTTGCTTCCACCTATTATATTTGAGTCAGGATATTCATTACACAAGGTAAGACTCAGACACATTAGTGCTTTTGGTCTGGGTGGCTTCCCACATTTATAAGGCAAGTTCCTTAAAAGCTTGGGTGTTAATTAGTAGTGGTGGGTCTGTGTGAACACCCTGGGGTGTGCGGACTATTCTACCTGACTTGTGGTCAGTGGGCTGCTTTCATGATTTCAGGCAGTGTGGCTTATTAAACTAGTGTTTTCCATAGAGGGGTACTTTGCCTAGGAAGAGACAGCCAAAGTGATTTTAATGGTACACGGATTTACACTGACTCCTCTTGGACACAGACTAGCACATGTTAAGAGGACAGGTCCTGGGATGACAGGGACAGGTGCCCCAGGCCTGCTGATTCTCAGCTCACCATATCAGGCCATCCTTGGCCCATCCATCCTTCAGTGTCTCCCCTCTCAGTGCCCTGCCCTGGTCCTCAACTCCCAGCTGATAACCCCTTTAACCCCAAGTCTCCCATTTCTTCCCACCCTCTCCCTGGCTCAGCTTCTCCTCACCAGACTGGAACCCCATCTTCCCCCCTAGTCTTCCAGCTCCTTCTGGCCCATTCACCTACTCCCACAGTTGCTCCACCCATTCTTGGCTCCCCAACCCTGGAGAGTGGCATCACTGGCTTTGCTCTGGCATTTCTGCTCTCTGTCCCCCAGCTTGCACTCGGGCTCTTTCTGCCTGGGCAAGAGCTTCTCACTTTTAAGTCAGTTTGTGTATACCTGAGTCTTTTCCTTGTCTATGAGTTTTCTTTAAATATAACTGTATTTAAGTTTTAAAATGAAAACGTGATTCAACGTAAAATATTAGTAATACAACAGTTATTTTGTAAATGTGATTTTAAAAAACTATGAAGGTTAGAAGGACTAAGGTTTGGCCTATCCTTGGAGGGAGGAGAGGGCATGGACTTGAAGCCAGAGGGACCTAGGTCTAGTCATGCGCTGCCCCCTACAGGTTCCTTTTGAGCAGAGTAGAAATTAGAAACAAAAAACACAAAGATCTCTAAAACCCTACCTCCTAGGTTGCTTTGAGATTTACATTAGATGAAAGAATGGATGGAAAGCATTTGTCATGAGAGTTTTGGTAAAAACAAAAAACATACAAATCAAGTCTTTAATTTTCTACCTAGATATTAAAGCAAAGTTATTCTAAGATGTTCAGTCCAGATTTTTAAAGTTATTTTATTGTGCATCAATCAAAAGAAAAAGTGAGAAGAAAGCTTAATGTAAAAAAAATAAATCTCACACCTTATAAACCTGATCACTGACATCAGATAATTGTTAAAAAGAAAAGCAAGAAGGAATTGAAGGTCAGTGTCTTTTCACGCTTTCATTTTGGGAACAAATCTTATAAGAATTGTAAACAGATTATGAAAATACTTCAGCAAAACAGTACTGAGGAAAATGATTTAACTTTAAACCATGACACTTTGATTATTATATTAGAGCGTGTAAAGTTTTTATTTTCTAATTTTTTAGAGGGAGAGGAAATAAACTTATTCAAAATTTGAGGAAAATAGTAGTTTGTTAAAAGAAATTTTTTTTTGAAGTTGGCTTTCCAGCAGAAAATACGACAATTTATGTGAAAGTGACCAGAGTGAGCTGGAAATGGGAACTCAGAGACTTCTGCCCACTGCCTACCCTTCCCCAGAGAAGATAGGAAGTTGACTTTGAATGTTTTATTTTAATATTGCTGCATTTGCTGATGTAGATTTGGACTTAGAATAAAAATTTCAGTAAGATTATCACCAGTTGATATGCATTAGGTAGGCAGCTATTTTGTTCTGTAAATTATTAGTATCATATGAAGAATAGAACATTAATTCTGCCAGAGAGAAGCAGAGAAATTTGCTTTATGTAGCAAAGGAAGTTTTATAGAGGAGTTACTTGATTTGGATAAATTTTCAATATACAGATTAATATTAACCAACTATGTAAATTATACCAGAATTAGATCCCTATAAACAGATCCCGATTTTGTGAAATCTATTTTTATTATTTTATTGTGTCTTTTTTTTTGGTTGGGGGGAGGTAATTGGGGTTTTTCATTTAATTAATTTATTTACTTTTAATGGAGGTACTGGAGATTGGACCCAGAACCTCGTGCATGCTAAGTGTACACTCTACCACTGAGCTATACCCTTCCCGCCTTCTGTAATCTATTTTTAAATAACAAAAGAAAGCAGCTTTTTGCAAAGAAAAACTCATAGGTGAAAGCCTTTTGTTTAGGAGAAAACCAAATCATTGTGTTTGCCTTGGTTATTTCATAGTTCTTTGTGTACAAAAGATTGATAAGCCAAATAAAGGAATTGAATGTCAGATTATGGGCAGCTAAATCAAAATTGTAACAAATGAAGCAAAGAAACTTCCTGAAGGAGAGAGGCTTAGTGGGCTGTCAGTGTTGAGCCATGACAGTCTTTTGAAGTGAGCTTTAAAGTATCAGTTCCTGTTGTCTATAATTTGACAATTTCTGACTGAAAAGATGCTCTACATCCAGGCCCACAATCATGGATCATCAAGGTTCCCTGGTGTTGTTCCCAAGCAGAGTCCAAGGATTCTAATAAATAGCTTAATTTTCTTAATTTTATGGAAATTTAAAAGATGTCACCATGCTGCTTAGACTCGAATATTTTCTCTTAAGTGCTGTAAAGTGTAGATGGGAATATATTTTATCTGTTATGTTTGATGATGATACTAATGGAGTGGAATTAAATTGTTTAAAAGACATGGACAGCAAAAAGGAGTTTCTGGTGGTATAACCTGTTATCTTGACATTCTTTGTAGTAATGTACTTTTTCTTAATTAATGGAAAAAATTTAATTATATAAACTTTGGACTTTGATCAAACATGAAACACAATTAATCCCTTTAGTACCTATTCATTTGTCATCTTCCATCTGACAGGCATCCTGCCAGGGACTGTGTTGTACAAAAGCAGACGTGGACATTGCCCCTGTTGAGCCTGCAGCCTAGTGGGAAAGACAGATATCAAATAGTACATAAATAAGTGTCAGATTTCAGCCATGGCAAGTGCAACCAGTATAGAGTCATTGTGCATTGAGAGCACAGAATAGGATCTGACTTGGCTAAGGGATCATAGAAGGCTTCTCTCAGGAAGAATCAAAATGTCCTGAGATCTTAGGATGATTAAAGTTCACCAAGCAAAGGGGAAGGAAGAGTGGTCCAAGCCCAGTGAGCACGATGCATTTGAAGAACCAAAAGAAAGCTACCAGTGTGATGGGAACCCAGAGAACAAAGGGGAGGTTAGAGGCCTTCACAGGGGTTGAAGCATCCAGGCTTTGGTTGGGTTTTAGCTGCATTTTTAGTGGAAGTCGGGGTCAGAGTGAAGGCAGCAAACTAGATTTATCTTTTGCAAAGATCATTCTGGAAGCCCTTGGAGAGCAGAGGGCAAGGGCCAGGAGTGGTTGAGACTTGCTAGAAGCTATTGCAGTGGTCTAGGGGAGAGACGATGGCAGCTTTGGTGAGGGCAGTGGAGATGGCGAAGGAGAGAAGCAGGGACTGTGAGTGCTGTGGGGCAGGCGGAAGTCACAGGGCCTGGCTCTGCATTAGCTGTGGGGGTGAGGGGAGGCTCCGAGCTTTGCACTTGACCAGCCGAGATGGGGGATGGTGCCCTTTACAGAGAATCAAGCCTGTGAGGATGGCCGGGTGTGGGGTCCATGCCTTCACTGACTGGACCAGCTTTTCTAATCATTTCTCGCATTTCTGCTCTTTCAAACAGGGTAACTTCTTTCAAAATATCGGTTCCATCACCCTATTTGCTGTTTTTGGTACAGCAATTTCTGCTTTTGTAGTAGGTGGAGGAATTTATTTTCTGGGTCAGGTAAGAAAAACATCTTTGAAAAGCTGAAAACCTTGCTCGTGCAGAGAAGTAGGGGTAGGGACACCTCATGGGGCCTGGGTTTCACCATCAAGGTAAATGCTCCTCTGGAAAGAAATCCAAATAAGGCACAGTAAAGGCATGCTAAAGCTGTTTCTAAGTCTTCCAGAAGCTTGGTGTCTGGGATTGAGTGAATCTTTTTCATAATCCCAAAAGTATTTGATCTTATTTTCAAACCAATATTATTTTAACTTGGAATACCTAAAAAGAAAGCAGAATATATACCATCAAGATCTTCAGATTGTAACAGTATCAATTATGTTATCAGACTAAATCAAGGTTAAACACTATTTTCTTAATAAAAATTTTCATTTTAAAAATCAAAGATGATTCTGAACATGTTCACTCAATTCTAAACTGTCCTCCTGTAGAATTATTTCCCCTGGATTTTCCACTATTGCTAAAACAATTCCCAGTGTCAGCAATTAAGTGTTTTGTGCTTTTGAGTTCAAATTAATTTGAATTAATTTAAAGCAGACCTACCTAGGAAGGTAGTATTTGTAGCTCTGCGTTATGCACGTCTATGCATGCCACAGTTCTTTCCCAATATGGTCAGTCGCTGAAAGTTTGTCTGCCCCAGTTCCACAAACAAAATTTGAGATTCAGGCCTTGGGGTGGCTGGCAGATTTCTTTTACATGTGTCGGATGTGTTTGCTTCTTTCAGTAGCAATCAGTTAAAGCCCATTCCATCTAATTTTCACCTTCACTGCTGCCTCAACGGCACCAGAATAAATCTGTCATGCAACCTTCTTCAGTGCTCAGCTTCTAGCATCAAATGGGAATAAATTTTAGAAAAGAAAACTTGTTAATTTGACCTGAAAAATGTAACATTCTTTTTCATACTTTTGTTGTATGACGATCAAATGCATGCTTAAACTAAAACTTTGGAGTCTTCTTTATTTTTCAAGTGGTTTGGGGACTGAAGATTAATGTCCTTATTAGTTTGTAATAAAGCACTAATGGACATTTCAATCTTCTTGGCTGTTCTCCAGGGGTTTTTTTTGTGTCTGTGTGTTTGTGTGTTTTATTTTACAGGCTGATGTAATCTCTAAACTCAACATGACAGACAGGTAAATCTTTCATACTGTAACACCCATGTGGCTACTTTTCAAACTGGAGAAAGTTTTCTCTACATTGATTCCTGGGTGTGGTACTTCTCTATTCTGTCTCTCTTTTTGTTTTGCTGATGATTTCTGCTGTAGAATCTATTCTGAATAAATTTTTGTCTCTGAAGTGAATCAAAACTTTATTCAGGAATTCTGAAGATCTCCAGTCAGAGGGTTGCTGATTGATACGATTCGTATAGTTTCAGCTTTGGAGGGAATAACTCTGGTTAGTTACTGCCCCCTCCACACACACCCCACATGCTGCACCACTGTCCTCTTATCATTAAGAATCATCTTCCGGTCATTTCTAAGGCTTTTCAACAGCCATAAGGAAAAGTTGTTTCTTGATAGAACAGAGATGGAGTGAGGTGTGAATCTTTACTCTGGGATTCCCACCAAGGGGGTGGGGTTGGGGTGGGAGGAGCAGGCAGGGCCAGGGCTCTCTTGTGGTTATCCTCCTCGGTCTGAAGCCACTCCATGGGGCAGTCCGAGCTGCTGTCTGGGAGCCCAGTCCAGGAATTTTCATAATCAGCTTAGCAAGAAGCAACCTAGACAGCTGTCTCTTGGAAGATACCACATCTAGTGCTAAAAAAGTGCACACACGGAGTGCAGCCTGGTTTCCCCTCCCTGAGAAGTCCAGTGGGTGTGCAGCCTTGATCTGTGCTTCTCTCCCAGGAGCGGTTGGTTCTGTCCTGTCTGTGGCAGGGCTGGGGAGCTAGAAAGTGGGGCCCAGTGCTCAGCCCTGGGTCCCTTCCATTGGGCCAACCAGAGCTTACAGCCATTAGTCGCAACTTGGAGATTAGAATCTTGGGGCCCTTTTCGTGAGAAATGTGCTTCTGATAACATCAAATCCAATCTCATTTTCTCCCCAGGGACATGAATTTCAAAGCTTTTGTCGTAAGATAGTCTTGATATATAAACAAGTAGCAAAAGTCACATTCCTGTTCCACAAGGATCAGATGTAAAGCAGAATTGATGCCCTGCATTTTGTAGGGCAACAGAAAAGAAATGCTCAACATCCAGTATGTGTAAAGGAAGTTGTCACAGCATTCAATCCTTCAACCTGTTTTGGGGCAACTGGTTAGAGATACAAAAAATGCTAGATAAACCCTTGTGCAATTGAATTGAACCAATGGTTAGGATGTTCAGGAGGAAAGTAGGAACGGAAATGGCCCTTAGACATGCAGAATAAGAGTCAAGTAGAGCTTCTTTCTGTGTGTGCAGACATTTCCTTTCTTCCTAGAAAATGGCTATCCCATAGCATGGGAAGGGAGGGGTTCTCGGGGGAAGTTAACCAGCAGTCACAAACCCACATGGCTTCAGGGCCAGGCAAAGCCCCTAACAGAAGTGAAGCTGGCCAGGTGTGTGTCTGGGGTGGTGACGGTGGTGAACCAGAGAACCCACCCTGTCTGAAGGGGTTAGCCACTTTTCAGCTCCACCAAGTAATTACCACATGAGAATATGAGGCCAGGATTACCAGGTACTTAATTTTTTTTTTCAAAACAGGCCAAGTTTCTAGATTTTAATAAGGAATTTTCCTGTTTTGAAATGTTGACAAATTAATCCAAATTTTTCAAAACACCATGCAGGTCAAACATGAGACTCATGGACCAAAGACCTTTGCACTATAGAAAATAGAAAAATAACTTTGTTCCACAGAAGATTTCACTTCATTGGTGTTTTGCTGGAGAGCTCGCTCACTCATGGACACACCCTGAATTAGCTTCCTGTCTCTGTTTTCTTTTTGTTTGGTCGAATTTGCTATCTTTTGAGATGATGAAATAAAGAAAACACATTTTAAGTTGAACTTCTAGCTTCTGGCCTTTTAGAAGGCTGGGTGGTAAGGCATGAAGTGGAGCAGCTGATGGCAAGATTAAATGACCTCTTAGATTCGGGCCTCTCCATGATTCAGGCAGTTCCTATTTCAGACTTCTTGTGTTCACTGTCAGAAATACTGTGCCCCAATTTAGATTCTCAACCAAAGCTAAATGTATTATATGATTTAGGCAAAGCATTTTGTCCAACTTTTTACTATGAAAATTTCAAACACACAGAAAAAGTGAAGCACTGTACAGTGGACACCCACATGACCACTTAGATTCTACAGTGACTGTTTCACTAGATTTGCTTTAACACAGATCTTTCCATCTGTCCATCCCTCTGTCCATTCATCAGGCCGTCTTCTAGTTCCTGCTCTTCAATTTCCAATTGACATGACAATTTCTGGCATGACAGCCTTGGGGGCCCACAGTGTCAGGACTCTCTCCTCTCACTGTTAGCTCAGCTCTTCCCTGGACAGTGTCATCCCTGGGTGCTCTCACCCCACATGGCAGCACGATGGCTCTGAGCTCACTGTCACCCTCACTTCAGCCATCTCTACTGAAAAGGCCAACTTAATTCCCAGCGACCTGGTGAAATGCCTGGCAATGGCCCTTTTTGACCAAGCTTCGGTCTCCCACCTACTCCTAGGGCCCCCACACAACTACATGCATGGAGAGTGAAGAAGACGCAGCTCCTAGGGCCCCCACACAACTACATGCATGGAAAATGGGAGTGCTGGGTGCTGTCCACTCTGCACTTACTGGGGAACAGAGGGAGTGGCCAGCTGAGCCGCACAAAATCAGCACTCAGTGCACAATTCATCACAGGCCCCCAGGTCCCCACCCTCGCTTGGGGGTACACTCTTTAGACATTCCTCTTCCTTCAAGGCCCCTGTTATGTTGCTGTGGGTGATGAGAGTGGGAATAAAAGAAGGGGCAGAGAAACAAGAATCCCTGTGTCTGGTTGCAGAGCGAGGGTCTCAAGGCCAGCTGCTAACAAGTCGGGGCCTCCCTGGCTGGCAGCTGTGGGTAGAGTTACCTTTCCTTCCCTCTCTCTCTCCTGCCTGCCTGCCTGTTTGCCTGCCTTCCACAGATATTTCTGGGCCATGCTCAGTACACATCTTGGGAATACACTCATGACTAAAACACAGCACCCACCCCTGGCACTCACAGCGAAGCGAGAGGCAGGTCAAGTCACAGCTCATCATACACATGACAGTCTCTGTGAGGACAGGGAAATTCTGAGACCTGAAGTCTGAACTGAGACGTCTTTTGGGGCCTGCTCCTCAGCTTGGAACCTGGAGGCTGTCCTTGAAGTAAGCAGGCTCTCCTCCGTGAATTCACAGTAATCAAACCCACAGGGAGCTGCTATGGAAACCAGAATGCCAGATTATTGATTTATGATGAGAACTGTAACTTGTAAGGCAGCCAGGCATCCCATCCCGCCAGCACTCCTCTCCCTGAGCCCGAGTCAAATGATTATGGGTGCCTGCTGGTGATGTTAGTGGACAGAGCACACTCCGGTCCAGGCCAAGGAGCTCCTCTTCATTTCCAGACTGCAAGCTTGGTGAGGGTGGACAGTCTCTGACTTATGTCTCTACCCAGGCTGTCCCCTTGGGGCTCTGTGTTTTGCCTTGTGTTATGGTAGGGGGCAGACCTAGCCGTTCTGCTGACCAGGCTGTCCCCTTGGGGCTCTGTGTTTTGCCTTGTGTTATGGTAGGGGGCAGACCTAGCCGTTCTGCTGAGCTGGAAGGAAAGCCGTGCCAGGCACAGCTGTTGAGGGAATTGAGGGCTTGCAAGAACTCTAAGGGGAAAAAGACACATGGGCTGAAAGAATAATCATCCAGGCTCCTGAGGCAGCCCACAAGGCCCCGTGAGGTGATCCGGCCCTGCCTCCCTCCCAGCGTCCCTCCCAGCCTCTGACGTGTCTGGCCTCTAACGTCTCCGGCCACTCACTGTCACCTGCTACTGCCACGTTCCCTGTTTTGCCTCTCAGGCATCCAAGCTTGCTCCACCTCAGAGGTAGCTTGCTCTTGTCAATTCCCCCAGGTTTTGGCTTGGCCTACTTGCTTCTTGCATGTAGGTCCTTGTTTAAGTAAGTGTCATCTCTTCACAGAGGCCTTTGCTGACCACCCAGTCTAAGCGCTCCCTACACCATCCCCCGACACCACCCTGCCATGTTACTCTCTCCCGTCACCCTGACTCCCGTTGGAACACTTGCCATTTTCTAAATTGGTCTTAGTCTCTGAGTTTTGCTGTATCCAGAGTAGAGGTTAAGAACACCGGCTCTGAGGCAGATGACCTGTGTTTAGATCCTGGCTCAGAATTTCTTTCTGACCTCGAATGAGTTCCTTAACCTCATATCCCTCAGTTTTCTCCTGTGTGATCAGAGAAATACTAGTACTATTTCCTGTGGTTGCTGTGTGGATTATTGAGTTGCTGTACATAAAGTGCTTAGAACAGTGCCTCGGACGTGGTAAATGCCACATAAATGTTTGCCGTTATTATTAGCCTCAGTGCCTGAAACATACTAGGCAATTAGTGGGTATATGTTAGAGGTAATTAGACCTTCATGGGCACTATTGGTGAGAGCCTCTGGCCTGGTGAGAGCCAGCATTGGTGTTGGTGTCTGCCACCCAAGCCACCCGTCCCCTGAAGCATGCTGGATTTGCTGCTGACTTTGGCACTTTTTAGATGTTGCAAATCTGAATGGAGGCTGGGATTGTTCACAGATGGCACTTTGGTGGCCTGGTGGCCGGGGGCAAAGCAGAGGTGAGACCTGGGAGCACTTGGGCCATTTGAGGGAGGGCCTCCAAGCCATCATGGTTCTAGCTGCTCTGCCCAAGAAGGCCAAGAGGTCTGTTACATATTTAAGCAAAAATCTTCCCACCGTCATTGGTCAAAATAAAGTCTTAATACTTCCAGTGGAAAGCCAGGCCATTCCTAACCACTCCTGGTAGAGTGGGCCTTTCACTGCTCCACCACAGTGTCAATTAGCAGATACTATAAGTGGAAAAGAAGGCACCATTTTCTGTAGTTACTTCAGCTACAGTGTGTACTGTTACGTTATTACTAAGTGCAGCCTTTGACGTCAATATCTTCCTGTGTGGACCAAGTGTTAAGTGTTACAGAATTACCCCTCCCTTTTCTCTTCTTGACAGTTTCGCGTTTGGCTCCCTAATTTCTGCTGTGGATCCAGTGGCTACTATTGCTATTTTCAATGCACTTCATGTGGACCCAGTGCTCAACATGCTGGTTTTTGGGGAGAGCATTCTCAATGACGCAGTCTCCATTGTCCTGACCAAGTAAGTGTGCTTTCTTCAAGTGACGGGACTGAAGGTCCTTGTATGAGAGGATGCAGCTGCGTGTACAATTTCTTGTCCTTTGGGTGTTGGGTTCACTGTTTCTGTTTCTGTCCTGACAAGCTTTGACATGTCCCAGGAATACTGTCAAGGCCCAGGGTGTTTAGAGGAGAGTCCACCTTTTAGGACCTACTTTTAACAGTGCTTCTGAGCCCAACTTCTCATCGGCATCACCAGGGGTGCTTATTAAATGTGATACTCCCAGGCCCCATCCTCAAGGCTTCTGATTCAGGAGGTCTGGGGTGAGTCCTAAAACCTAGGTTTTTAATAAGTTCTCCAGGGGATAATGGCACAGCCAGTTGAGGGATCAGTGTTTGGGCAGCATTGTTCCAGACAAAAGTGGCTGACAGAGGCCCTTCTCTCCCACTTGGGAGCTGATGCACGTCACCTTCCTTTTTGCAGCTGTAGGATAAGGTCGTGGTACTATCAGGTACCCTAAGATGCTGTTATGTGAAAGCTCCTTTGGAAACTACAGATTTTTCAAATGTTCGTTAGTATCATTGCCCTTATTGATAGGATCTGAGAAGTTAAATTTGAATCATAAAATGTCAAGAAGTCATTGGGAAAAGGAAATGAATCTAAGATCATTTCAAATGTGTTCATCTGCCGCAGGGCTGTTTCCTTGCACTCCACGTTTTGTGGTGATCATTAGTATGTATGGGCAAGAGACCCAAGCAGTTTTACCAAAAAACAGAGAAGGCACAGACAAAGCCATTGAAGAAAAGAGCCCTCGACAGTGTATCAGAGATGAGCTAAGAGAAATTTAGGGGCCAATCTGTGTTCTGTTAAAGAATAGAATGTCCGGGGTTGAGGGGTATAGCTTAGTGGTAGAGCTCTTGCTTAGCATACACGAGGTCCTGGTTCAATCCCCAGTACTTCCATTTAAAAAAAAAAATAGAATTTCCATTTAATTTGGACTTGTCTCCTTTGTTGTGGGATTTCTTGCAAAGCATAACCACTCTGTGGTAGTCAGCATTTTCTTAAAAGCCTTGCTGTAGACTACATTCAGAATTCTTATGTTGGAACAAAAGAATGTTTTATAATGGAAAGAGCCCAGGCTTGGGAGTCAAGCTGAGCTAGGTTCACGTCCCAATGATGGCCCCTCATTGCTGCGGTATCCTGGGTCAGCTCCTTCACCTCTTTGAGCTACTGGTTTCTCATCAGTAAAGTGACGGTGATAATGTCTCAGCCTAGGATTGGATTTGAGGATTAAATAGTTAAATAGGGGTCTATATGAAAAAGCATCTGCCACCAGTTAAGCTGAGATCAACTTCTTTCCTCTTCTGCTCCTGTCCCTTAATTATTATTTCATATGTTTGTTCTGATTTTGTCCTACTTTTGCAGGAAGAACTTACCAAATGCTGTTTATTTGAAATAAGTACTCAGCAGACCTTGAACAAAACAAATATATATATAGTATGCGTATGTGTACCTATGTGTGTGTCTGTGGGTGGGTGTGTGAATGTGTGTGTGTGTGTGTGTGTGTGTATATCCTGAAGTAATACCTATATTCTTCATATGAAATTTAGAAAACTCAGAGAAAGGGAAGGAGGGATGGAGGAAGGATTTTTAATTTAGATAGATATATACTGTATTGTAAGTTTTCCATTGAACAGATTATTTTATTGAAAAAATAATCTTCCATAACATCATTTTACTACTTACAGAGTATTCCATGTGTAGATTTACTATGATCTATTTAATCAGTTCCCCATTGTTGGCTTTTTCACATTTCTCTTGGCAAAAATTTCTATAGCTTTATTTGGAAATTATCTATATCATGATGTAAGACCTTTAAAAATTTTTGACGGCAGTATTTTTTCTGAAGATTGACTTTGAAATCTTCTTAGCTTTCTGGTTTTTACTTTTATCTTGAGTCCTGGTTACATATACTGAACATTTGTGACAAAGAATTTTGCCTGAATTAGAGGTGACATCACAAATTATTTTTATACATTAGGAGCGAAACTCATCTGTTTTGTCTCTAATTTATTTTTTGCTTTAATCTGTCAGAAATAGGATCTTTTCTAAGCTTTTCCAGGTCTCTTTGCTGCAGAAAAACCAAAGGTTAGGAGATAATTTCTTTTTAAAATGAGAAATGATGGAGTCATTGTAAGTAGCCAGAGAATCTTCCTGGAAAAGTGCTTTTGAAGGCCAAGATCACCTATGATGACAGTTCCCCAAATTGGATCTGTGGACCACATGCATATGTGGTTTCCAGCCTCCACTTCCACTGCAGCTGGTACACAGGCTGGGGTAGGTGTGACTGACCTAAGCCACATCCAGCCTCACTGATTCCCCAGACATGCTAAAGGGTGGTCGTCCACTCAGCATTTGGTGTGTGTGCCAGACCTGCTCAGAGACCAGTTGAATTTGATGAACATTGTCCAAGATGGAAGAAAGATGCTCATAGAAAAGTGAACACAGTGCATGCCTTAGCTACCACTGTGAAGGATTTTGAGAAAGGCTTCTCAGATCAGTTATCTGGGAGCCAGGTAGGCATTTTTAGGTAGAAGAGGGAGATGGGGGGAGAGAGAGGGCATGGCTGGCCTGCCTTGTTTTTATAGGACGGGAGGGAGCTGTCATCAGCTTTCCTTGGTTACAAGGTAGAATCGCATCTTGTTTTTAAGGCTATACTTCATAAATGACCATTTTCTAAGTGATCCAATGACACATTTATTTTTGTAACTGAATATGTGAATGGATTACCCCTGTTTAAATGTTTTCACTTTTATAAGTGTCAGAAAACTAAGTATCTTCTGTTTCTTCATTAATTTTAATTAAATTACTTTTAGCTTTGAATTGTTACTAATGACAATTATTCTTGTAACAATTGCTGTAGAGGAAACCTTTTGTTCTCTCTAGCTGCATTGAAAGGTCATGAAATGGATCCTGAAGCAGCATTGTTTTTTATTCTTTAAGTTGTGAGGAACATGACCTGAAAAAATAAAATGTACAAAAATTACCAGGCCAGAAAGAGTCCAGATTCTACCTTCATTTATCTTGAGTTCAGAAACCATTGACCTGAGCCCTGGGTCCGCTGTTAATCACTGGTGTGACCTCACTCGGCTAGCCACTCTCTTTGGGCCTCAGCCTCCTTTGCATGAAAAGAAAGCAGTGTTCCTAACCAGTGTTCTGCTGTGGTAATGAAATGGGGTGGGGGCAGGACGCTACGCATGTGGTTCACAGACCTATTTGGGAGCTAGACGTGACCTTAGCCTTCAAGAGCACTTTCCCAGTAAGAACCCTGTTGGCTCCCAGCATTTCCCAAGATGGGATGTTCACTTGTGATCTGCTGGCAAAGAAAGAGAATGGGGAAGCTTGTGCATTTGGGTGAGTTTGGAAAATTTTTGTGTGAAAAAAAGTTAGTTTTCTTTTTTGCAGGACTTCTCAGAACCTTTATGATGTTATATTGTGCTGTGAATCACCATGGAAAGCTGAGGTTTTCTCACGAAGCCACTCTTATCCTGCTTTAAAATTATACCAATTCATGAAACGCTGATTAATGAAGCTGAATACTGCCATTAACAATTCCTTGTTTTGTTTACTGATTCAACAAAAATTTGTTAAGTGCCTTTTCTGTGCTGGGCTCTGAACATATGGCAGTGAACAAGATGGACACAGGCTTGGTCCTCGTGGAATGATTCATGAGTTTCGCATGCTATGGAGAAGTCAGGCACCAAGAGAGCCTGTAAATGGGCTGGCCTGTGTGGAAGCAGGTGTCCCTGAGGAACAAACCCAGAGTCAGCTAGAGCCCAGGAAGGTTGACGGATGCTCTACAGGGTGGTGACAGTGGCAGTGGGGCCCAGCATGAATGAGGAGATGGGCTCGAGAGCTATGGTGGAGAGGAGTCAGGTCCTGCTTAGAAGACTGAGCTTCTTCCTAAAAGCAGCAGGAAATCGTCGACAGGCTTTGAACAGGGGAGTAACCTGTTCAGATGTGCATTTTAAGGGGATTATTCAGGCCACTGAGTGGAGAATGGGTGCTCCTAGGAAGACCAGGATGTAAAGAGAGAGACCCATGAAGCAGAAGCCCTGGGATGAGGATAGTAGGGGAGAGAGGGAGAGAAGTGGGTGGATCTGAGAGAGGGTGGAATCTGCTGGGAGGATGTTTAATGAGAAGAACTCTATTAAAATGGTTTTACCTTTAGGGATAAAAGCAACAATTGAGTTTAATGGCTTAATGGCTTCTGGCATTTTACTTTGTTCTGTTAACTGTGAAAGGAAAGGTTTTTCAGTTCTTCCTCCTGATGCCTCCCAAATCCCCCCTACTCGGCCTTACCCACTGATATTTCTTCTTTAGGGTACTCCATTCTACTCAGACTTCATGCCACAGCCTTGACTTTAGGTTTTATATCACAGGATCCCCAGTCCCCCACCCTCACCCCACATTGAAAACTTTCCCCGTGATTCCCCAGGGCCTTCAGGATGAAATACCAACTCCTTGGCTTGGTTCGTCCAAAGCCTCGCACAGGTCCTGGCGCTGCCTGCTGCTCCCGTCTTACCTCCTGGCACGTCCTCCCCACCGGCCCCTCCCCCGACGCCGTGTTCCCGTTTTACCCACAATGATCTGCGTGACTGAATGCTCCTAGGCCGTGCTGCTCATGGTCCTGGGCTCCCTGCCTCCATGCACGCTGCTCCCTCTGCCTTGGGTGCTTTCCCTCATTTCTTCACCTGGTTAACTCTTCTTTATCCTAAGTCTAAACCCAGCCCATAGGGCATGAAGAACCTTCCTTGCCCACTACCCATCCGAGTGAGATGCTCACCCTGTTTCTACACAGGGTTTTCTCGAGACCGTCCTTGTTCCAGTCTTGTTTTTGTCCCTAGTTAGACTATAGAGCCCCCTAAGGGCAGGGACTTGTTCTCATCTCTGAAGCCCCAGAAACTAACAGGGTGCCTGGAACAAAGTAGGTGAACAAATAAATGTTTGACTAGTGGTTTGCATGTTGGAATGAATAAAAGAGAATAAGCATGAAGTAAGTTTTGAGTTCTACGTTAATTTCTAAAACTTTGTCTATCATATTTTAATTTCTTTCTGTTTTTCTTTTGCTTCCTAGCACAGCTGAAGGTTTAACAAGGAAAAATGTATCAGATGTCAGTGGGTGGCAGACATTTTTACAAGCCCTTGGCTACTTCCTCAAAATGTTCTTTGGCTCAGCAGCACTCGGCACTCTCACTGGCTTAATCTCTGCATTAATATCCTTTTAATATGATGAAAACGCGTGGCTGAGAAGATTATTCTTAATTACATCCATCTCACGTCATTTTCTCCAGTTCCTTAAGGGAGCCCATTTTAGTCTAAAGTCATATTTGAAGGAGGATTTTTATGCTTAGTTTTGGTTTCAGGAACACTTTAATTTAAGCTCGAAGATTTTAAAATTTAACATGTGAAATTTAGGATGTCACTTTTCAAAGCCTGAAAAACATGTGAACTATTGGATACCAGGTCTGATTTTGAGGGCTTCTCGGTTCCCAGAGTATGCTGACCACTTTCAGATGAGTTTCATTTTCCACTGTCTCACGTTTCACATTCAGAAAATTGGAAATTAATTTCCTTTGAAAATATCAAATCGAGAAAATCTCTACCCCACTGAAACTATTTATCTGGAAGGACCGGAAAAGAGACTTTCAAAGTGAGCTCCATCTAAGTTGTCTGCACTGATTTTGTTGCTTAACAACCCATAAGCTTTTCCAGCCAGAGGAGCAAAGAGTCTTGTTAAGGCCGTTGACACCTTTATTGATGTAGAAAATTCTTCATGTTTAAAATAGGAACAGGCATCAGATCATTTCTGTGTGATCCTAAGCCTGTGTGCGTCTTGGGGAGATGGCCACCTGGCCCTCCTCCATCAGCAGTTTGTCTCACAGATGGCCAGAAAAGCCTCTGTTGCCTGAGACAGGCATGTTTGTCTGCCATCCTGTTGTGAATTTTCCCCTCAACTCCTTTGTCCAGAAGTCTAAAGGCTCTACTGAGTTGGCTGACAACTTCTCATGTTGTACCAATAAACAGAATGGAAAAGAAAACTTTTACCAGATCAGTATTTTCCTCTATATTTATCTCTTTCTTTTAAATATGGGGCGGACAACGCATCTACTGTAATGAAGCCCAGTAAGTAGTGCTGTGAGCTCCAGTACAGGCATGTGAACAACATTTGAACATGTGGAAGACTCTCCTTTTCACAGGAGTGTAAGTTTATAAATGTCCAAAAATCAGAAAGAAGGTCCTTCATTGAACCCCAGGGTTCTGGAAGCCCCATTAGTGATCTCATCTAATGTCATCAGAGGAGTGGAAGAGGGACGTGGCCCTGGAAGGGACCTTGCAGTGTGGCCTGTCCTCAGTCTGTCTGCAGCTTTGCCCCTAGCCCCCACCCCCAGCTCTCAGCCATCCAAGTCAGCATTTCCAAATGAATTGACTTAGGGTGATTTTAATTTTCTCCTACCATTTGTCTCAGAAATTTATATCTCTCCGTCTTTTGTCAGATTCCCTTTCTTCAAATAAGAGTCTCCCTGCAAAGAAAAAAATCCATAATGACAAATTTTCAGTTTACCTTGGAATGTTCCCAAATCTTTGTATCCATTGTTTGTTTATCTTTCATTTAGATTTGGAAGGCAGCAGTTCTGTGACTTCTCTAGCTCACTGTCAACTGTCCTTTGATTATTTCTCCTTGACAATTGTCATTCACGTGCTAAAGCATATTGACTTGAGGAAAACGCCTTCCTTGGAGTTTGGCATGATGATCATTTTTGCTTATCTTCCTTATGGGCTCGCAGAAGGAATTTCACTCTCGGGTAAGTGACGGAGAGCATTGAAATGCTGGGGTTGACGGTGCGCTGTCCTGCCCGGTGAAAGAGATTATGTAATTTGGGTCACTCTCAATCACAAGAGACAGTTATAACTCAGAAGAGCTTAAGCAGTAAGGGGGGGTTTACTGGCTCTCTAGGGACACATCTGGACTTAGACCTGGCTGGATCCAGAAGCTCAGTGTTGTCTCCGTCACATTTGCTCTTTATGCACCACCCTGTAGCAGAGATCAAAGTATCTCTCCCAGTGTTGCCTCTTTCTCAAAACAAGCCGTCCAAAGAGCTTTCACTCAGAGGATGCAGTCAGACTGCCAAGGGCAGTCAATCCCTCTGCCTATCCCTGGGCCCTGGGCTCTGGCACCCACTGAGTTCTTTCACTATAGTTCTGCCTTTTCCAGAATATAAATGTCATAGAAAGGAAATCATGTAGTATGTAGTCTTTTGTGACTCATTTCTTTCAATTATAGTAATATTCTTGAGACACACCATGATTTTACTGTATATCACTAGTATAAACCAGTATAAACAGCAAATTGAGCCCATTTTTTCCATTCACCATTTGAAAGACATTTGGACTTTTCCAGATTTTCTCTAGGAATATTTGTGCGTATTTTCATTTATCTTGGGATGTTGCTGGGTAAGGTTGCCAGGTCACACGGTAGGTATATATTTTACTTTATCAGAAACTGCCAAGTGTTTCATGAAACTCCGGGACCATTTTGCATTACCACCAGAATGTATGAGGGAGTTCCAGCTGCTTCATATCCTCACCAACACTTATTTTAATTTTAAAAACTTCAGCCATTTTGATAGGTGTGTCGCAATTTGATTTTGATGTGCCTCGGTTCTCTTTATAAATTATTCTTGGGATTCCTTGAGTTTCTTGGGTTAATAGTTTGTGCAAGTTTATAGCTTTCATCAAATTTGATAAATTTTTCATGTCTTGAAATATTTTTTCTGTTCCTTTCTGCTCTCCTGTTGGGACTCCAATTACAATATCCTTTGCCTTTAAAAAGAAAAAATTCTTTTTTGTGATAGTCTCTTTTTCGGCCATGCTCAATCTCCTGTTGATCCCATCCAGTGTATTTTTCATTTCAGATACTGGATTTTTCATCTACAGAAGTTCTCTTTGAGTCATTTTTATATCTTCCATTTCTCTCCACATCGTGTCCATGATTATCTCTACATTCTTGAGCATATGGAGCATATTTATTAAAGCTGTTTTAATGTCCTTGTTTGCTGTTCCATCATCTCAGTCAATTCTGGGTCTGTTTCTGTCAATTAATTTTCTTCTGTTTATAACTCACATTTTCCTACTCTTAGCTTGCCTACTCATTTTTGATTGGATGCCAGTCATTGTGAACTTTATTGCGTTGTTGAATACTGGATTTTATTGTGTTCTTTCAGAGAGGACTTTCTTCTGGCACGTATCTAAGTTCCTTGGAATCAGGTTAATCCTTTTGAGGTCTGCTTTTAAACTTTGTCAGGGCAGGTCCAGAGTAGCCCTAGGAATGAAGGCCTTGCCCTTCTAAGGACTGTACCTCATGTCTCACAGATTATGAGATTATTCCACTCTGCCTGGTGGGAGCACAAACTATTCCCAGCTCTGTGTCCACTTAAGCAATTATTCAGCCTATTCCTTTTAAAATTCTTTCCCCAACCTCTTGGAATCTCGCCCCACTCGAGTGCAGAGTGATACTGGCCCAAGATTCTAGAAGACCCGGGTGTGGCTCCCCAGAGCTTGCCCTCTGGGCAGTGCCTCCTCTCAGGTATTCTGGCTGCTTTGGCCTCCGCCGTCTCTCATCTGGCTCCTCTTCCCAGCAAGACTGAAACTGCTGGACTCAGTTTGGGGTTCCCTTCCCTCAGCCTGGAAACTCCATCCACCCAGTAAGCTGGGCTGGGGCTGAGGCTGAGGTGGCCACCTTGTTGCCTTTCTGACAGAAATCAAGCCCTACGCTGCCTCCTGTTCAACATCAGAAAACAGTTTTGCCTCATCTCTTTTATCAGGTTTGCTAGTTGTTTATGGCAGGACGGCACTTTGCGTAGCAGTTATTTCTTCATGGGCAAAGGGGAAGTCCCGGCAGTTTCTGATGACTCCGTTGGACAGAATCCTCCTTCCCGCAGGTCACTGTCTGGAGTCACACATGGGTTCTCTGTGAGCAGGTCTTGCCAAGGAGGAAGCAGAGAGGACTCTGCCCATTTTCACTGGAGAACTTTGTAAACCTCAGGGTCTTGTTTGTTTTTAATCCCGAGCCAGTTCTCTTGGATCATTTCATCGCGGTATCTGCTGACCCGTTCCCTCTCTTACGTTTCCTGAGTTTGGGCACTCGCATAAACATTACCTATGAGTCATTTGGCTCTAGCCTAGCTATTTTTACCTCTGTTTTTCTAAATTGTTCTCCATCCCTTTGAGATGAACACTAAGTACCTGTTGGCAAAGACACATATTTCATGCATCCTCCATTTGAAATTTGTGATTAAAACAAGGGAGTATTTTTCTTGTCTTTTCCTCAGAGAGGCCATGTTTTCTGTTTGTAGGGGTTTTGTTTTCTTAGGGACCTCTGCTGTACACGCTAATGGGGCCAAAGAGAGCACATGCAAGCCAAGAACACACTCATCTACCTCTGCCCTGGGGCTGTTTGGCACACAGCGTTCTCAGAGGCAGGTAGGATAGCTTCGTACTGCAGGAGAACGAACAGGAAAGGTGACAGTGCTGGCCTCTCCTTCCTCTTTGTGCTCTGCTTTTCCTGACGGTCACAAAGGACTGAGTGAGTGGTTACCAGGACCACTGAGCAGGACACTTTCCCTAGGAATCACTTGCCAAAATTTATATGTTTAGATCACAGTGGTTAAGGACACCAGACAGACCTGGGTTTGCATCCGAGCTCCACCTCTCATTAACCCTGTCACCTCAGACAGCAGACTCAGCCACTCTGAGCATCCACTTCCTCGTGTGAAGTAGACATAAGAAAAGTACCCCTGAGGCTTGTGGTGAAGATGCAGGTGAGAGTCCTGGCAGAGGCATCAGTGTGCATCATGTCAGGGTGACCATGCATCCTGGTCAGCCCTGACATTCCCAGTTCTCCCCTTTTGTTCCAACACAATAAATTAATAACACCCCCTTTTATCCTCAGAAGTGTCCTGATTTCAACAGCAAATTGAATAATCGCCCTAATCATTACTCAGTAAGCATTAGCTATTCTCAGAGTCTTTGTTCTAGTTCCGTCAGCGCTAACTAGTACTGTCATTCATTCAAGCAAGTTTGAGGGCCACTTTGCCCTCTGGCTCTAAAAATTCAAAGATGAACAGATTCCACCCTTGCCAGTCCGGCCAACTCTGGGCTGAAGGAGGGGACTTGGGTAGAGCGACTCTCTGTCAGGGTGAGTCACAGAGAATGGAACTTTGGCGGTTGAAGGATGAATTTGTAAGACTGATCAGGACATAACACTTTATGTAAAATGTTGGGAAGATGTTGGCCAAAGATGGGATGTGTTATACAACACTCATGTGCACAGGTGTGTATCCAAGGAATTCCTTTGCAGCACTGCCTATGAGAGAAAAATTGGAAGTAACTAAATGGTCATCAGTAGTGGGAAAGATTGTGTACATTTGACTCCATATTTCGTATGAAATACTATGCAGCCACTTAATGAATTTGACCAATTTGTACTGCCATGGAAAGAGCTCCAAGATATATTGTTAAATTTTAAGAAAGAAAAACCATTCATTCATCCATTCAGTGAATATTTATTAAATGCCTACGCTATGCCAAGAACTCTCCTTGGTATCAGAGCTTATAGTAAACACGACAAGACCAGGTGTTTTTCTGCAAAAGAAAGATTAAAAAAAAAAGTAAGCAAACACATAAGATAATTTCAGGTAGTGAGAAATGAGGTTAAAAAAAGAAATCAGAAAAATGTGATAGAGTAGCCCTGGGGGCAGAAGCATCATGAGATAGTGGGTCAGGAAGGTGTCCTGGAAGGGGTGGCACTGGGGCTGACTTGTGTGGTGAGAAGGAGCCGGCCAGGGGAGGATCTGGGGACTGAGTGATCGGCAGCCGAGCAGCAGGTGCTCAGGGTCTCAGGTAGGCCTGAGGGCACTTGGTACACCCCAGGAAGAGCAGGGAGACGAGTGTGGCTGGGACCGAGGGGCACAGCCCCCGCCCCGCAGGGTTCTGTAGGCCTGGAAGGAGTTAGGATTGTGTTATACATACAAATGCGAGTGTTAGAGGAGTTTTCAAAAATCTCTGTGCCAGGAATATGTGCCATAATCTATAATACGGTCCTGTTACTACTTTTTAAAAGATAGTATGAACTTCGTAATGGCGTAGTAAAAGCGCTGGCAAGCTGCACGTCGAACGGTTAATGGTAGTTACCTTTGGGCAGACGGTGTGAATAGAGTCTCTTGTTTTACTCTTTACCCCTGAGTCTGGATGTTTTATAGCAAAATATGTTTATTATTGGGCAATTCACAGAAAAAAACTGACTGTGGTTTGACTCAGCCTTTCAGAAGTGCCTCCTGTTGTACCCACGGTAAATTGCAAGTGGTAGAAATTGTGCATGATACTTTCAGCTCCTGCCTTTTGGACTTGAATCCCTCTACTCTGTTCCTTAATTGCATTTGAAACAATGGATTTAACTGAGACTAGAAGTGGATTTCCTCCCTTCTCCCTCCCTCTCTTCTCCCTCTAAGAGGCTGACCAGTTCGCTGCACTGTCATCTGCTTCCTTAAATGATTTTGCCTTCTAAAAGAAGTAAATGTGTCAGGATTCTTTCTTACAGGGCATGTTTCAAATATCCAGACATTTTATCTCCAGGCATGAACCTTTCGGCACCATTTCCCCCTTCACTGTTTTTGCAGCCTGTGCCGGTGGCAGCTGCAGTGGATGAGGGTGGCCTGGGTGGTGGAGATGTCACCTTGGCTTAGGGAGGGCACGTAAGGGAGACACTTGGGCTGTCCCTGGGGCTTTTGCACCCACTGATGACCCTGATTCTTTCCTTCAGTCCCTGGAACTTAAGAGATGCCCTGACCCCAGACCAGACTGGCATAAAGGTGGTGGCTGGCTGTTCACTCTTTCATCTGCCAGAGGGCCCGTTTAATACAGTCCACATTCAGCCCCCAGATGGGGTTTGTTTATCTGTAGAGAAAATTCTTAAACATTCGAATTAGTTGTTGTCTTTAAAAGCTGGAAGATTTCCCATAAGAAACGTTTCTATCTCTCAAAAAACAGAAGGAAGAGTGGTCAGCACTAGGTCCTTATCCACAGGGCTGCCATCAGCCCTTTGTAGTTGGGCTGGTGCCTTCTTTGTCCGTGTGCCACTCATCCACTGATCATTTTTATCTTTATTTTTATTGTCTGGCCCCTGAGGAGTTCGGGTTTCCGACCCCTGGCTAAACCGGCCAGCCAAACTGCTTCTGTCCTGAGCCCGTCTCCTTGTTGAAGAGCGCTGAGGCACGACAGGCCAAGGGGGCAGGAAAGCTCCCTTGAAGCGCTGGCAGTGGGCTCTCCTGATGTTCAATCCCAAGGGAACTTCCACCTTACTCTGTCAGATCTGACTTCCTGGAGCCTTCTAGAGTGGTTGTTTAGTGCTGGGACTCGCGCGGGCTATGACGACCTCTTTGTGTGGGTGGAAGGCCGTTCCTGGAAGGCTTCCCTGGAGTTGACTTTTCCTTCAGGGTCAGAATTTCAAAGTCTCAGCTTTGCAGTGAAGCAGGCTGGTGAAACAAAGCCCTTTGAAAGCCCAGAAACCAGCCATCTAGCATTGGACTGCACAGAAGGGAGAGCCTTAAGATCAATCCCATATGAACAGAGTGTGTCTGTGCTGTGTCCTCTTCCCTCAGTCTCCATGGTTGGGGTCAAGGTCCAGACCCAGGTTCTGGTCTCTCCCTTCCGTTTCACCTCATGCCTGTGGCATTGGTGGTTTTGTTAGAGTCAGGAAGGAGAAGCTCTCCAAGTGGTCACTTGCAGAAACTGACTGAGGGGAGCAGGTGAATTGAGGGAACAGCCTGGGGTCTTGTGTGTTTATCTAGCAGAGCAGAGGCTCAGAACAACTCTTGACTTTCAGAGTCTTCTCCCTGCCCTAAAGTAGCAAGTAAAGGAGTCTCCTGCCCTCCTTTTCCTTCTCCGAGCTTGTCAGGTGTGGCTCGTGGGCAGTGTTGCTGGGATTTCCTTGTTTAGCCTCCTTTATAGGAAAAATGAAAGAACAAAAGAATTTGCTGTTTCCTATGAGTCCTAGGAGATAAAATGTTCCAGCTACTGCTGTCTCTCTGGCCAACAAATGCCTGTTGGGCACCACAAAGAATAGGGTTTTCCTGTATTTTGTAAGGTACTGTTTATACAGCAAGCTTAGCAGTTGAAACATCTCCAGTGCAGTTCTGTGATTTTCACTCTTTTATTGGAGTTAGCCAGTGATCTGTTTCTACAAAATGGCAGAAGTGAGTTAAAATTTTGCTTATAAAGTTTGAGTTGGAATTCATGTATCTTGGCAGCTTGTTTAGTGACTTTGTAAAAGTCTCAGCTTCCTTACATGAAATAAAGACGTCTTTGCTGCTGCCCAGCCAGGGAGACACTGAGAGGCAACCCATGTGACTCGCTTCAGCAGGGATTAGGGGCAGTGGACAGAAGCTGAGACTCAAATCCCATGTATGCAACAGAAGTTGTAGACTCTCTTACAGAGAGTTTTACAGAAAAGACACATCACCTTTTTTTAAACAACACATCTCTTTTCATATTTCATAGTGATTATGGGAAAATTCGAAATTAAAGTACAAAAAAGTAAATCAAAATCCATCTGTTCTCCATACCCAAGTTCTGAAGTTCCATTTCTGACCCAAGAGTGGTTCACCTGCCCTCCTTTTGTCCGTGGATGACAGTGATGGCTCACACCTGTCCTGCCCTGGTCCTGTGATGGGCACTTTACATGATTTACCTTCATTACCCTCCTAACAGTTCCATGAGCCAGTACTGTTAGTCCCATTGTACAGATGAGAAAGCTGAGGCTTGGAGAGGGGAGGAAACTTGGCCCAAGGTCACCGAGCCAGTAATGAAGCTGCCAGAGACAAGGGCCCTTAGCATTTCTCTGCAGCCTCAGGTATTATTTTCCTCTCCTTTTTCTTAAAACACCTAACAGTATAGGCCCCAGGGACTTGTGGGAAATGTGAGGCGTTATTTGTATGTCGCACGGCAGGGGCTTTTCTGCTCTGTTCACATCTGTGCGCTTTGCCCCTTTTTCCCTCTCCAGGCATCATGGCCATCCTGTTCTCAGGTATCGTGATGTCTCACTACACACACCATAACCTGTCCCCCGTCACCCAGATCCTCATGCAGCAAACCCTCCGGACCGTGGCCTTCTTGTGCGGTAAGTTCTGCCTCTGTGTAGCCCCACGTGGGTCCGCCCGGAGCTAGCTGTTCTTCCTCGCCTGGTGCTAGGAGTCCGTTGAGATTTTCCCTGGCAGAAGAGGCAACAGAATTCCTCAGAGCCGGATACCGCACTCCCTTATCTTTCGCTTGTTACTCTGGCTTTCACATTCCAGAAAGCAAACCAAATACCTAACAAATGGAATGTTGATACCTATAATTTTAAGACCAAAAATATTGAGAACTACTAATTATGAACATTTGGGACTCATGTATTTGTAATATATTACAGTGATATTTCCAAAAATGTGTTCCTTGGAACCGATATTTATGTGAGTTAGGTGAAAAAAGACTCCATAGTCAAAAAAGAGTTTGGGAAATCCTGGGGCAAATAAAGTTTAACAAGTTTCTGAACTGTAAGGCTTCAGCTAACGTGCATGGTGAGTTTCTAAGAGAAGGATGGAGTTACAGCATTTCCCAAGCTTGTCCGCAGACCCTTTGTTCACAAGAGCATCTTGAAGGACGTGTTAGAGGTGTCGTAGTTGGGCTGGGCCACACCGTGATGGCTTTTTCTTTTAAGCAGTTTCAGTTAAGCATCACACTCTGATGAACCCATGTACCTCCTCCTTGTTTATACCTGGGGGTAAAAGAACCGCTCTCACACTGTCCCTTTACACTGGTCTCCACGTGGCTGTGCCCTGCCTGTCATCATCAGCCCCCCCTGGCATTTTCGGTGGACTGTCTCACTTCGAAGCACTCATTCCACGCTGTCATGTGCTGGGAGTCAGGGGCAGGCTGACTCATTCCACAGACAAGGAGGCTCAGGTGCCAGAAGGGCAAATGACTCGCACACGGTCCCGTGGCTAAGAAGTGAGTCTGGAAGCCGGTCTGTCTCTTTCTGGTCCAGTGGGTACTGTTCCCACAGCACCCCTCTCAGAAAGCCGTGGCTGAAGACTCTGACTCTCACAGTAAAGAAATGTGAAGCAAAACAGCCATCAAATTCCATTTTGTACCCATGAGATTTCAAGTTTGAAGGTTCCCCACTTCTCATGTGAGTGTGTGGAGCACAGGTCCTGTTGGTGGGCATGGACACAGATGCTGTCTTTTCTGGAGAGTCGTTTGCCACATCAGTCTGAATTTAAAAGACACATGCTCTTTGACCTGGCTGTTACGCACAGGATATTTGCTGTAGCTTTTGCAACATCAGACATAGAAACGGTCTCAATATCCATCAAGGAGTCGTTAAATTAACCATGACGTAGTCATATACTAGTATGTATGCTGCCAGGGAAAAGCATAACGTAGATCTGAATGAGTTCTAAATGAGCTGATTTAGAAAGAAGACAAAAATGTTTGATAACAAAAACATTCAAGGGGAGAAAGGTGAGTAAGGTATACTGTCCAGCTTGTGGGCTTGGTCTAAAAGGATAGACATTTGAAGGAAAAAAACAGTGCTGAAATGTTTTAAAACAGCCCTGCTGTTTTATGATACTTAACTGTTTTAAAATAGAGTCTTTGTCTCCCTGGCCATAAGGCTGTTCTGGGGGACATCACAGTCTAAGCAGAGAGCCTAGTGCTAGCAGTTTATAAGGTGCTTTTTCTTAGGATACACAAGCGACTGCTTGTGCAGCCAGAGTGAATATCAGGCACTTTTTGCCTCGTGGAGTGGAGCCAAGAGGAGGAAATGTATCTCTTCCTGCAAATCCTGCAGGGTGTAAGCCGTCTTCTAAACTTTGTGGCAGCATTAAATATATGAAGTCAATCTTTTGGCTTTGACCGCTCTGGCAAGGAAGTTAACAAAGGGCCCTTTCACACTAGTCACGTGACATCTGCAGTCATTTGCTCTGAATTTTTGCCACTTAGGCCGCAGTTGGGATCCTTGCTAATCACAGTGTTCAGCAAATGGACAGATTCATATATTTATCACCGTCCCTGGGAGGAAGAGTATTTATTTGCACGGGTATTTGACAGCTGGTTCATTAAATTAGGAGATTCTGAACAGCAAGCACATGCTGCTTGTGTGATAGAAAAAAATGAGAGAATCGAAGTACAAGTCTGACCGAGGTACTAGCTGCAAGATCTTCCAGAAAATAAGCAAAGTGTTATTACTGGATTCTGATTTACTTCTGAATGCCTGCTTGTATAATGATTCCGTGCTACATTGGAAGAAAGCAGTTGACGCTGAGTAATTCATTCTTTGGTTTGTTTCAGAAACGTGTGTGTTTGCATTTCTTGGCCTGTCCATTTTTAGTTTCCCCCACAAGTTTGAAATTTCCTTTGTCATCTGGTGCATAGTAAGTATTTTCCTTGTTTTTTTTTTTTTATTTAATTACTTATTTGTAGATCAGTAACCACATATTCCAGATTCATTTTTGTAACTGTTAACTTGTCAAAGTCAACAGCTACATAGACAACCTTCTGTTTAAAGTTTCTTTTGTTAAAATCGTAAACATGCAGTTACGGAGAGGGATGGAATAGAGTGAATAAATATCCCCAGAAAAGAATTTTTGCTTGGTTTTTAATTTTAAATGGCCTTGAATTGTTGTAGTCTTTTTAAAAAATGACCAGATTTTTATGTTAGGTGGTAAAAGCAGATTTCAGAATCCAACGTGTAATTGAACATAACCATGTAAAAACAGTATGCATAGAAAAAAGAGGCTATGTAAAGAAGTACAGCTAAATGTTCACAGTGGTTGTAGAACTGGGGATGATTTCTTTTTCTTTTCTACTTTTTCTGGATAATTATAATGAATATACCTGATTCTTACTGTGGTTTTCTTCAGATGTGTCCATTTATTAAGTATGACCTTGGATACTTGTTCAAAGTAGAGATTATATGGCCCTTACCTCCTCTGGAGATTTATCCAGAGGAATCATCCCAGGTGATTCTTACCATTAAGAGGCTGGGAGGAAAGTGTTATAATTGGACAGGATGGTGGCAGTAGGAGACAAATTAAAATACACCTTTAAAAAAGGAAAATAGAAATTGAATCACTTGCAGTAAAATCAGGTCTTGTGAATGGATTGGGGAATGGAGTGGGAGAAAAAAAGAAATGTTTAGCATTTAAAAGAAAGGTCCAACTCTCTCAGGCATCTGTTCAAAGTGACGTGAATGATCTGTAACATTTGGGCATTTGGCCTGGTGTTCCCAGGCCCCTCCTGTGTTCTCCTCAGTGTGAATCCATCTCCGGCAGGTCCTCCTGCTGATTCATACTCCCACCCTTAATTTGATCTCTTTGTTGTCTTTTTAGATCCTCTGTTAATTTAAGGCACTCAAGAAGCCTACCTTGTTCTTGAGTTATCATAATTCATCTTGAGTTAACATTTATTACCAATTCCACTTAATAAAACACAGCTATTGAGAGACAGACTTTTTTTTTTTTTAATCACTGTCACCTATCATGAGCAGACCAGTGAGTCCTACCTTTCTGGCATATGGAGAAACTGTGACAGACAAGATAAGGAACCCCAAGGAAAATGATGCTTCTCCTTGCAGCCTGGTGCTTCTGCCTTGGTCGGCACAAGCTCATTGCTTTTGTCTGTTATCTGTTCTCCAAACTCAGGTTTCAAGACAAGAGAACAGCAGCGAAAGTCTTTTACAGAACGTGTAACAGCCTTTAGTGTGGTCACTGGGTAAAAGGGCCCACATTTGGTCAAACTAAAACGCAACTGTAGAAATGGAAGATTGGATTTCAGTGGGTGAAGCAGGGAGGTGACTGTCTCAGCCATGCGCTGGGATGAAAAGAAAAAGGGGAAGGTGCCGGGGCTGGTAACTCAGTTTCCCCTGAGCACTGGGTCAGGCTGGCTCTGCCAGTCCTGGAGGTGGCCTGTGCTATTCAGGTGGATGACTCAGGTGGATGACTCACTCAGTGGTCAAGGGCTTGGGCTTTGGGGGCTGAACCAGGTTTGTGACTTGGCTCCATCACTTCCTGCCTGGGTCAGCTAGGACCGGTTACTTAGTACTTAACCTCTCTCTGTCTCCGTTTCCTTGTCTCATAAACAGAGACAGTAACACACCTACTTCATAAAACTTTTGGAAGGATCTAAATTTAACGAGATAATGCATATGAAATGCTTAGAGCATTGTCTGGCACACAAATGTTAGATGATTGGGAGCAATTATTGTTAACTTGATCGTCCAAGGTACACAGTCCCATGCACACTCAGTTCATGCTGGTTAAAAAATTACCGTAGAGCCTCAGAATGTCCATGTCTTACTCTAGTCGAGTAAGTTATGATGAGAACCAGGATGAAGCATGGAAGTAAATTAATAAGTAGTTTCAAGAATCCACTTAGATAAGATTTAAACTTTACATAAAGCTGTATTTCGTTAAGACCAATATGCCTTTGGAGATGGCTGGGAACCAAAAGCAAGCAACTGGCTAGGCAGAGCCTACCTAAACATTCGTTTTGCTCAGGGAGCAACATTTACGGCCATAGGTAGGCCTGTCTCAGTCTTCCGCCCTTTCCCTGAGGAGTGGGGCCCCTGAGGGAGAGGCAGGAACACCTTGTCTGTCCCTCCAGAGCTAGCCCATTGGGAGTGATTAGTGCAGGCCTGTCCCATGGTGGAGCACCTTTGGAGGAGCCAGATTACCCTTAAATTAATCTCCGGACACTTCTGCAACGTCTCTTGGCATTACTAAAGCCGTCATTGATACCTTGTTAGTCCCCTCTCTCTGACGATGGAAACATGAATGTACAAAGCTTTATCGTTTCCCAGACATGTAGAAACTGGTGTCTCTGGCAACACACCCCTCCTGGGTCTCTGCCTAGCACTGTGTTGTTCGTGCCTTTGATGGCGAGGGGATGCTGCCTTTATGATGGGCGTTACCAGGTCTGTGTGAGCCTCCACACACTTCAGCTTGAAAAACCAGTGGTTTCCATATAAGACTTAGTTTGTTGCTGTTAACAGGTACTTGTACTGTTTGGCCGAGCAGTGAACATTTTCCCTCTTTCCTACCTTCTGAATTTCTTCCGTGATCATAAAATCACACCGAAGATGATGTTCATCATGTGGTTCAGTGGTAAGTCCAATCTTGAGTGAACTGTTGGGGGAAATACCTGTTGTAAAGGCACACGCCTTGCAGAGAGATCGTGTGACTATCTGCTGGAGCCCTTTGGAAACGAGTGTGCCTCAAACCCCCGATGATACAAGTGCCCATTTAAGGGCGTCTGCTGTAATCCAGGCTGTGGGCGAGGCCCTTGCCAGGCAGTAGCCCTCCCCACAGCACTGTGAGATGGGCGGTGCGTGTCTGCTCTGCAGATGGGGACGCTCAGGCCCACGGACAAAGGACGCACTTGGGAGCGAGTGGCCACGGGAGGCAGAGCCAGGACTTGCCCTTCTCCCCTCCCCTTTTCTTCCTGGACAGACTGCAGCCCTTTCTAGGCTGAAGTAACAAGGGGCTCAAAATTAAATGGTTAATGTTTAAACTTTTTTTGTACTGCAGATAGATTTGGATTTTTTTTTCATTCAGTCACTAAGTTAAGTTGCTGTTCAATCTCATATTCCTCCACTTTTTAAGGGATAGAGATGATTTCATAAATCTTTGGCTCCTAAAAAATTGGACCCATAGACATCTTTTTATACATACATATTTGAGGTATAGTTGGTTTACAGTGTTGCGGGACCCATAGACATCTTATTAAATTTATCCATAGACATCTCATAAATTTATTTTTCAGCAATACACCCAGTTCTTTGTGTTTTCTTATTTAAATATTATAATTAAAATATTTCCTCTGGGTTGAGATATAGAAACATGCTTTGTCAGCTGTTTTCTATCCAACAGCGTACCTGTACGTTTCTCACAGATCTCTCTCGTTTTTCAAAAAGCCTCATGTGTGTGAGAGAGAGAGGTTGGTATGTAAGTATGTATAATGAGAGAAAGTTTTTTGCCAGTGAGGAAAAAAAATTGTAAAGTAATCGATCCAAGGTCTTGAAAATCTCAAAAAAATCTAAGAAACGTATCAGACATTTTACAAAGTTATGTGAGCTCTTCGGGGGTCGGGAGCATGGTAAAAGACCTCTGTGGGGAAGAGGGGCTGTTTTTCAGTGAGAGCTCTTGATTCCAGGTGTTCTCTGCCAGGCTGTCCTAGGCCTCTCTCCACTGATTCCCTCCATCTCTTCCCTGGTTCCTCAGCCTGCCTCCACTGGCTCCTCCATCATCATTTCAATAGTTGAAGATTCTCTCCTTCCAGCAAAAACCCAGCTTCAACCAAAATCCCTACCCCACATCCCTTCCAGCTACTTCCCCATCTCCTCCCATCATGGCCAGACCTCTTGAGTGGGCTGTTCTTGTCCATTTTCCCCACTTCATCATCTGTTCACAGGGCTGGACTTGGCCTTGCCTGAGTCCCCAGCGACCTCCTGCAGCCATACCTGGTGGGCAGCGGTCAGCCCTCATCCCCCGCATCTCCTTGGCTCTGGGCTCCTTCCTCCCACCCACCTGCCTTCTGACTAGAAAGAGACCCTCTTCCTCTCTTTCCTCGGCCTCCTCTAGGCCATGCTCTGGTTTCCACCCTTCCTCTTTGGGGTCTTTTCAGGCTCCTGCCTGGCTCCCCCTCTTCCTTTACTGGCACCTCAAATGTTGGCTTCCTTAGGACTTAGCCCCAGACCCACTTCACCTCTCACAAGCTCAGAAGCTCACCTGTCCTGTGGCCTCAACTTCCATCTAGTTCCCACCCTCCCAAGGCTGTTTCCTCTAACCCAGACCTTTCCCCTGAGATCCAGACTCCTGGGTCTGAATCCTCCTTGGATGTCGTGGAGACATTGTGGGTTCATTGTCTAGGACTGAACTTACCTTCCTGCCCAACCTGCTTGCTTGCCAGCATCCCTCTTCCACAGAAGACAATCATGTGTATTATAGCAGGGGTGTGGCGAACTCTTACTAAGTGTTTGCTGAGTGCACACGCTGTTCTGTGCCAAGGCACTTCATCCTCGGGCCACCAGCAAGGCAGGCTGTTTCCACTTCCGCATGAGAGATTGAATTGAGTCACTCGCCCCAGCCTGGGAGGCCCCGGAGAAAATGGGGGCCAGGGGGCGAACCCAGTGGTCAGACCTTCTTCTGACCACTCCCCACCATGCGCAGACCACTGCACAGCACAGCCCCTAGGACCTGGGTATCCTCTGGATCCATGCCTCCCTGGTCACCCCACCTGCCACTTGCCCCTTGACCTGTTGCTATCACTCCCTGAGTCTCTCTTAATTCCACTCCCTTCCCCTGTCCCCGCTGTGCCCTCATGTGGGGTCTAGGCTGCTGCCCCAGTCACCCCCATCATGCTGTGATGTGTCTGCCTCCATGTCTGGGTCAGATCCTGTCACTTATGCTCTGCCCGCCCCCTGCTTCTTCGGGCCCTCCCCATCGCACAAATCCTTGTTTGGTGTCTCTCCTCCCTCCTGCTCTTGGAGCTCCTGTTCCCCTCTCTCTGGCACCAGACAAGTCGGGAAGATTTTCAGAGAGAACGTGCTGTTTCCCAGCTCAGTCCATGCCCCTCTGTCCAGCCAGCAGCCTCCCAGGGGACCAAAACGGGAAGTGTGGGAGAGGCCCTGATGCAGCTCCCTGTGCCGCTGGCCACCACCAGAGCAGCCCCCAGCCCGTCAGAGCTGCCAGGACCTACCCAGGGGCCGTATCTTCAGATACAACAGGAATTGGGCAAATCTCATTCTGTGCTGTTGCGGGTGAAGCTGTGTGGCCCTGGAAGGACACCTCCTTGTCTCAGTCTCGGCCCCGCATCTGTTCCTGTGGTGACTAACAGGACCGGCTCTGTGAGCCTCCCATGCAGAGCAGATGAGATTGTGCCCACAGAGCACATAGCCCAGGGCCAGGCACACACAGGGAGGGCTTGGTCTGCACCAGCTGTCGTGTTTCTAAAACGTGAGCCTTGGGCGTGAGAAATCCTCACATGCACGCACCTGGTGCTTCACAGCCTGGACAGGTCAGCCCATCAGGTCTGCTCAGCGCCCTGTGAAGTGGGAACGAGGTGAGCTTCTGCTGGGTGCCCCACTCTGTGCCTGCTTTCCTTGTATCCCCGAGCCTCACAGGATGAGTTTGCATTCTCCAGGGGGGTCTGTTAGAATGTCGACCGGCCATGATGCCGGCCATGCCCAGATCCCCGAGAACCGAGTCAGCGCCAGCGCTGCCTCCTCCCTCCTCCCTCCGTCTCCTCTGACTCCCTTCACTGTGCCCCCCAGGCCTGCGGGGGGCCATCCCCTACGCCCTGAGCCTGCACCTGGACCTGGAGCCCATGGAGAAGCGGCAGCTCATCGGCACCACCACAATCATCATCGTGCTCTTCACCATCCTGCTGCTGGGCGGCAGCACCATGCCCCTCATCCGCCTCATGGACATCGAGGACGCCAAGGCGCGCCGCAGGAGCAAGAAGGACGTCAACCTCAGCAAGACCGAGAAGATGGTCAGTGCCGGTGGGCCAGGTGGAGGCAGGGTGTGGGTCCCCGCTCACGGTCAGGAAATGGGGAAATGAGATACCACTTGGGGATGCTCAGCTCCTGTGCTCACGCACCCACACACACACCAGTTCCCCAAACTGAGCGGGAGGTTGGATTCAAGTTCTGAAGCATCGCTCTTTGGGGTGGGTTGTGTGCCAGCCTCGTGAAGCCACTGACGCCTTGGAGTGGGAACATGGATCTGTACCAGACCCTCCCAGGAAGGTTCCTCTCCTGCCAGTAACCATACCAGCCCATCAGGCCCAGGACTAGAAGAAGGTTTCCAAATCACGCCATTCCCCAGCATCTGCGGAAGTCCTCCTGCAGGGGCCTGAGGAGGCTCTGAGAGCGGGTGGAGAGTGCACTCCACGGAGGACAGATGAGAGCGTGGTGTAGGGCTGGAGGGGCCCGGGCCAGCCGCAGCAAGCCTGAGGCCCCTGCCCCCGCCCACCTCTGCCTCCTCCAAGCCCTGGATCAGCTGTGGTCCCTGCCCCACGTTCGCCCTCGGGCCCGCGTGTGCTGAGCCAGGCTCTCCGCCCTGGCCTCCCATCCTGCCTTCCCGCACTGCACACTTTCCGGAAGTGCATCTTTTTCTGGTTCCCTTAGTCGAGGCCATCAGTACCTTTAACCAGTCATGGAAGGCATAGAAATCCTCAACCAGAAAATGGGGAAAGGGGATGTGGCCCTCTCTCCACACTGGAACGTCCAGGTCTGGGCAGATTTTGGTCTCCAGTCTCTGCTGGGACCTCTCAGGCCCGGGTTGTGCCGCTGCCGGGGAGCCTTCAGATGACCTCAGACTGGGCTGCTCACAGAACTTTGCTCACTCTCAGTAGCCCTGCTCCTCCCACCCCCATCCACCAGCTTTGTTTTCAACAAAAGCTCAAGTCAAGGTTCTCAGACCTTTTAGTGGGTGTCAGAATCGGTGGAGCGCTGGGGCCTCACAGGTCTGGGTGGAGCTCGAAGAATCTGCATTTCTCACCAGAGCTGCTGCTGCTGATCCTGCAGCCCTCACGTGGCAAAGCCCTGCTCTGGGAGAACCAGGAGGTTTGCTTGGAGAGGGAACAGCTGCCTTTTAGGGAACATTTTCTGTGGTGCTTGCGTGCTTCCTTGGACTGGCTCAGGTCGCCCTGATAAATTCAGGAAGGTGGTCTCATTTTCCATTTTGCAGATGAGCACACTGAGGCACAGAGAGATCAAATCACAGAGCCGAGGTTACACAGACTTAACCACCACACTCTTGTAGCATCCTCCAGGTGGGGTTCGTAGACCAGTAGCCGTCTTTGGAAACTTGTTAGAAATGCAGATTCCTGGGCCCCATTGCAGACATGCTGAATAGGGAACTGTAGGTGGGCCTGATGGGCCCAGCATTTTATGTCACAAATTCCAGGTGATTCTGATTCAGACTAGACTTTGAGAACCACTGCTCCACAGCTGGGAAATGCCCTCCCCAGCCCTCACCCCTCCTATACCTACTCGGGTCGGGGGCACAAAACCCGCCCCTGCAGCAGGTGGGTAGTCCTTCCTCTCCAGATCCTGCCAGGATTGTTCTCTCCCCCCACATCCACTTGACCAGCCAATTCACCCAGAATGGCCCACCGCAGGCAGAAAAATAGCAAAAGCTGCCCTTGTTCAGTTCAGCCTAGAACAGTTCCCAGTCCTGGCTGCACACAAGAGCCACCTGGAGCGCTCACAGCTGCAGCTCCTGCCCAGAACTTCTGACTTACTCACAATTCTGATTTTCCTGCATATCCATCATGTTCTTACACACCTTCCTGCCTCCCTTTGGGCTCCCCGGAAGCCCCCTGCTGCTGCAGTTAGGGTTGGGGACACTCGTGGCTGAGGTGAAGGGCTGTGAGGTGGGCTGGGTGGCGTGGAGGCTTTCCGAAAGGTGTCAGCTGAGGATCCCTCGGCTGCCTTCCCTCCCCCCTCAGGGCAACACCATCGAGTCGGAGCACCTGTCCGAGCTCACGGAGGAGGAGTACGAAGCCCACTACATCAAGCGGCAGGACCTGAAAGGCTTCCTGTGGCTGGACGCCAAGTACCTGAACCCCTTCTTCACGCGGAGGCTGACCCAGGAGGTGGGACATGGGCCAGGGGTCCCTTGCCTTCCTCCCTCAGGACCTGCAGTGGCCTAGAGCCGGGTGGGCAGGGAAGGGCCACGTGCCATGTTGGGTGGGGGCCCAGCCAGGCCGCCTCTTCCCACTCAGCCTTCTCTCCTTCCCCAGCCCGAGGGTTGGATATGCTTGTGGAAGTCGGCATCTGCCGTTTTTCCTTTGCTGCCATATTTAGTGCTAGTTTAATAATAGACTTGTTCACGCAGTTTAGTTTTCCTGGATGATAGACTTGGGACATTGATCAGCTACCAAATCTGAGCTGAGGAATTTCAGTCATGCCAGGGCCCTCAGGCAGTGGCTCAATGCTCAGGGCTCAAGGCTCAGGCCGGGCACCACTGGCCTCTGGGTGACAGTGACACACTCTCACAGGAACCAGCTTGGGTCTGCTTTGCTGAAACCAGCATCCTGCCTCATGCAGGGTTGGGGTGGGGTTCTCACAGCCGCTGCCCTCCTCTTTGGTGCTGAGCCCCGTTTTCCCTCCTTCCCAGTCACGATCACTGTCAGCATGTGAGTTCGTACTACGTGCCCGGCGCTGTGCCACATGTGTTCTGTGATTGCTCCCTTTCATTCTCCCAACAACCCATGCAGTAGACGCAGCTGTCACCTCACTTGACGGCCAGGGAGACTGAGGCCTGGAGGGTGAAGTAACCCTCTGAGGTCACATAAAACGATACGTAGCAAAGCTGGGAGCAGAGCCCAAATGTGTCTGATTCTGCCATGTTTTTTAACATCGTGCCATCCTGCCTCCTGCTCCTTGTTTCTGAGTGACACTGCCCTTTACCACCCCCAACTACACACACACAAAAAGAAAAACCCCAACTTGTACTCGTTCACTTAGCACTTCGAAGTTGCGTGTGGCCTTGCACCCTGTCCCCCTTCTCCCCTGACAAGGTACAGAACGGCTCTCCCTCCCTCCCTGACCCAGACCCTGACCCTGACCCTGACCCTGACCGTGACCCTAACCGCTAACAAGGGCTTGGTGTGTCTCCTGCCCCAGGACCTCCACCATGGGCGCATCCAGATGAAAACCCTCACCAACAAGTGGTACGAGGAGGTACGCCAGGGCCCCTCAGGCTCCGAGGACGACGAGCAGGAGCTGCTGTGACCAAGCAGGACGCCGTGGCTTCTGGGCAGGTGGGGCCGCAGCACTGCCGTCCAGCCTCCCCATGGCTCCCAGGACAGACACTCAGCCAGGGCCCCTGAGGAGGGTGCATCTGGCAGCTCTTCAGGGGGAATGGAAGCAGGTGAAGACTGGCCGTCTTAACCCAGAATTTCCCAGGCCTTTGGAGCCATCTGCTGCTCCCGAAGTGTCCCTCCCCACTCCTCACTGAGCCGGACCTCTGCTCTCAGGGTGGCTTCCCCGCCTGCAGATTGGAGGGACCACCTTTGCAGGTAAATGTTTCCTTCTGCTTCTGCAGCTGAGGGGACAGTCGTCTGTCCAGCCAAGGTGCCTGCAAGGAGGAATCTTGCTCTGGGCCCGCCGTCCAGGGGCCCTGCGGAGCGCGGGTGTGCAATGTCTGCCATTCCGGCCACTGCCTTCATCACAGGAGCCCTTCCCTGCTGGATGGGGGGCGGTACCATCAGGGCGAGGAACCAGCCGCTGTTTCCCTGTGTTCATCAAGGTGCCCCTGGCCTCAGCAGCAGCAGTTCTCATCTAAGTGGCAGGCGTGGGAATCTTGAGAGCCTCACACTCCCCTTTACAATGTTGCTTACACTCTCTGAGAAAGAAAAACTGAGTGACCTTTTTCTTCTTTACCTCTGATTTGTACCTCACAGGCTGTCTCCCTGGGTGGCAGGCAGCCACTGCCCTTCTCTGGGAATATTGTGAATGTTTACACTGGTACCCAGCAGAGCAGAGGGCACAGGCCCCTCTCTAGAGCCCTGTTGGAAGCTGCATCCCTGGGTTTGGGGGGCTAAGCGAGCCTAGTCTGTGGGGTCAGAGCGCCCTCTAGAGGGAAAATCTGGAGGTACAGGATTTATGCTGGCCAGCTGCTGCTGTCTTGAATTCAGTTTAAATTCATGCACTTTTACAAAGGAGTGAGAGCCTAGCAGTCACCTCCCTGACCTTACTTGATGGCCCTTGCTTGCTCAGAGGCCCCTTTTCCCAGGCTTCGTGGGATCTGCCCACCACTTATCTGCTGCACCTTCACTGCTCATCAGCATTTTTTTCCCTCTCCCAGTTCTCCACCGTCTTGGGTCCTATTTGTCCCCTGTGCCAGGGTCTCAGCTCACCAAAGCACCTGAGCAGGTGCCAGAGCAGCAGTGCCCCCTGGTCCTCCCATGCCACTCGTCCCCGTGACTCCAGCGAGCCAGATGCTCTGAGTCTCACCTGCAATCCCCAAGCAGCCACTGCTACCCTAGGGCTTGCTCACAGAGTGCCTGCACACACTCTCCATACAAACACACACCCTGCCCCGGCCCCGTGGTCCTGGCCCCGGGCCATCTCAAGGTCACGTCCAGGTGAAATGAGAGTACCAGTTCCCGCATCCGCCTCTCACCAGCCCTGTAACAAGGCTCCTGCTCGCTTGCCTTTGCTCATCACTGGCAGTTCCCACATGCGCCTCAGCGTCCCAGCTGGAGCCTTGGGACTCAGCACCCTCTGGGGTGGTTTAATTCATGTTGTTCATGTCCTTGGTTCTCTGTTGGGGACACAAGGGGCCAGCTTGGGCTGGCAGCAAGCATTTCCATCTCTTCTGCCTCAGGCAGCGTGACTCTGGATGTCAGGAAGGACTGACCCCAGGACCCTCCAGGACCCATGTGCCCAGCGCAGGAGGCCAGGCCCCTGCCCTAACCCCTTCCCTTTCCCCAGAAGTGTAAGTGTAAAGCCAGTCAGGCAGGAGGCACAGTTTCTTTTTTATGCATGAAAAGTAAATTTGTGCTTGATAGTGGTAAAATATGATCATTTTTCTTTTTGTAATCTCCTATCTTAACCCTATAATTTGAGCCAACAGGATTATTTTACTTCACCTAATATCCCCACTGGAAGATGAATGCCGTCCATAATTCTGGTCTCCGTCATTTCCTGTTTCTTTTTAGTGGAAAAGTAAGAGAAGAGGTCAAAGAGAGGGGACCTTTGTCCAGACATGGGCAGGGAGGTGGGAGGCAGGGATCAGAGACCAGATTGTTCTCTCATTCCCCAACTCATAAGTAACTTACTTTCCCCCTGAAATTCAGAGTCTGATCGCTGAGGTATAAGTTGCACTAGTCAATTCAATAGCATGCCCAGAAAAAAAAAATTTGTCTATGAGTTCATAGATTAACGAAGACAGGATCTTCTCGGTTCAAATTGCCCTTTGTCACCAGGTCCCACCTGGCTTCCCACTCTTAGCTGAGACTTGAAAATGACACTAAGTAGAGAAGCATGTGGGGGACTTGGTGGAAGGTCCCGAAGGCTTGGCTGTGGAGGTGGTGTGGGGAGAACCAGCCCTGGCCTGGATCTCTTGTGAGCCTCTTCTGCCCCCTGCTGGCCAAGTGAGGGTTTAGCAGCCTGGGAGGGCATTTCCCCCTGGGGACTGGGTGGGGGAGTAACTCATGTTCCTCAGCAGTATGTCTGTTCACCTTTGTAACGGGCAAAAGCCCATCGAGAGATATTTTTCTGGTGGACTTTTTTCAGATGTCTTTGCCTGAGAATCAAACTACTGCTGTCTACCTTCAGCATTCCTAAATAATTCTATTGTTTGGGGCAATAAATGCCTAGAAGATAAAAAAATATATATCCAGCATAACTATAACTTCCCACATACTTATTTCCTTTTAGATCTAGGCCTTAGGACAGGAGAACCACAGCGTGTAGAGAAGGTTATACTTTAGAGGGAGGTGAAGGCTACGCCAGTGACTGCCTTTGGGAAAGCTGGCAGGTTAGCCAGTGAACTCTGAAGACATGCTGTCTTGGGGAGCTGGGGAGTCATGTAGCAGTAAGCCTCACACCCCAAGGCTCCCCTGGCAGCCCCTCCACAGTAGGCCCTAGGATTTTGAACTTCTTGGAATAAATCACATGCTTTCTGCCGCCCTGTGGTGGCAGGACTCCTGGAATCGATTGTACCCTGAGGCTTGGGGTGTGCGGGCTTACAGGGAAAGGAGCCAGCTTCTCCCAGGTCCCCAGAGATCAAGTTTGGGCTGAGCTTGAGCCAGGCCGGTGGAAGGTGGCTCAGGTCCATAGTCTGGTGCTCACTCAGCCCAGGGGCTGACTGAAGGCAGCCTGCCCTCCCCGAGGCCAGCCATCTCTGTTCACAGTAGGAATACTGGCTGGGCCCTGGCTGACGTGAGGCCAAGGACCAGGGCCTGGCCCAGAGTGTTAGCAGCCCCTGGACTCCAAATCAGCCTCGGGAGGCCCTGATTTGCCTGTAGATTCCTTTGTGAGCAATGAGAAGTAGAAAGATTGGTGAGTGGGGAGCCTTCTTAAAGCCCATGTCAGAGGTGCCATCAGCAAGACTTGGCCTCATGAGGCCTCAGGTCCACACATTTGGCAGAGTCCTCAGCGGGGTAGCCACAGCCAGGATCCCCCTTCTGCTCTGGTGGGGAGAGGGAGGGAGGGGCAGGATGGTGGCTGGCTTCCGCTCCTGGTGCAGGTGTGGCTTAGGGTAGGTCTGGTCTTAGAACTGATCTGGTTCTAGTGTGAGAAGGGATCTCTCAACAGCAATGATCTGCCATGGATTAGGACTTTAAAATTAAAAAAAAAAAGTAAAGATCCTCTGCCACTTCCCCATTCCCTCCAGAATGCAGGCGTGTGTTTCTGCTACTGCGTAGTGGATAGGAAACCAAATCTGAAACGTTATTGTTACAGCAGCCAGGATCATGAAGAGGTTGTTCTAACAGGAGCGCAGTCTCCAAAGCCCCAGGCAATATGTTTTCAATGAAAACACCACGGTCAAGGAGGCTTAGAATAAGCAGCCCCTTCCTTCCCTGTAGTCTCCTGCCACCTCTCAGGACGGAGTTAGATATCCAGGGACTTCCACTGTCTCTGGCCATGTTATGAAAGGAAGGCTTTTAATTTTCCCCGGCCCACCCCACTTTTTCACGCTTTCCCACCCCCAGCCGACACGATCTCTAATCCCAGAGGGAAAAACATCCGTGGCCTTCCCTACCCAGGAGCTGGTCTTCTCCCAGCTGCTCTGCGTGAGTGTCCTGACCTCAGGACGCGGAAGCTCAGTACCTGTGAGCGCAGCTGCGGGACCCTGGGGCCGAGTGACTGGACGGGGAGTGTGCAGTTTGGTGGTCAGAAGAGAAAGGTCACCTGTCAGCACTGTGGACCGCTGTCCAAGGAGCCTGTCAGCCACGCAGAAGAGCTGCATCGGCGTGTTCCTGGTGCTCAGCTCTCGGATCGCAGCCCTGCTCTGAGGAGCCGCCCCGGCACAGGCCAGGGAAGGCTCCTTGCTCTCCGGGCCGCTGCGAGGTTCATGGCTCCAAAGGCTTTAATGCTTTCTCCAATACAGCTCCTGCAAAGCTTGATTTGTTCACAAGGTTACTCAGAACCTTGTTCTTTTGAGTAATTTTCTTTATAAAAATGAAGGATTTTGCGAGCATTGCTTTCTGATTTAAGGACCATTGGGAAGGTCAGGCTTGTTCTCTTGTCCTTCCCAAGTAAGCGGTGAGAGGCGTTTGTTAGGTCCTAGTTCCTGAGAATTGATTTGCTGCTTTTCCTGGGGGGCTTCGGGTTGGGGGAAGAAGGTGGGGCAGAGGTGGAGGGACCTGTAGCTGCTGGGCCGGAGCCTCTGCCCTGTCCGACAGGTCCCTTTCAAGAATTCAAAAATGGTTGGAAAACAGTAATGTCACTGGATACTTATTTAGAAATAAAAATGAATGCTGCTGAATCAGAGCCAGTTTCTGTGTTTGTGTTCCGTGGCTTTGCAAACGCATGGGCCACAAACCCCTAGACTGAGCTGTGACCGCCTGCCCGACTCTTCTGGCCAGATGCCTGGCAAAACGCAGTGGCAGGAGGCAGGAGCATGGGCTTTGGGGCGCGATTCCTGCCTCTTTGTCCCTGTTGGGCTGTACCCCGTAGACCTGCGAGCCTTGTAGCTGCCCAGCCTTGAGACTGAAGAAAGAGCGCAGAGACAGCAACAGAGACCTCAGTGGCGGTGGTGGTGGTGGTGGTGGTGTTGGTGGGGTCTTACACAAAGGGCCCCAGAGCGACACCCCTCCGCATGGGGCAAACAACACAAAGCGGCAGTCTTCGCTGCTCCCAGGAGAAGGCTGCTACCTACGGGGGGGGGGGGGATTGACATCAGCTGGGCTCATCAGTTACCAGGGACTAATTAAACCCTATGATTAAGAGGATTGGATAGTCATGTGAGTGAAGCAGGGCCTGGTGGAGCGGTGGGGGGGAGGGTTCAGAGCAAAAGAATGGCCATCTTGAATAGCCTAAGCATACAGTCCCTTAGTGAGGAGGACCTGAGACCAAACAGGGGGTCTCAGCTCAGGCCCAGCCTCCAGCCAGACCACGGCTGCTTTTCCTCACAGGTGCGGGGGGCGCACCTTCCCCAGGGCTCGCTGGCCAGCCACTCTCCTGCCACTTGGGACTGCAGACCAGCCCCTGGTGGGCTTTTGCCTGACTGAAACCAGGCTCTGAACCCGCCCAGCCGCGGGAGCCTCTGATGGGAGGTGGTGGCACTATCTGTGCGAAGTCTTCAGCCTCTGTACCCTCTTGTGCTTCCAAAAGGCATCCGAAGCTGCTTACAGTAACAGGTATAAGCAAAAAATAGACATGATATAAAGCAAAACCAGGTGGGAGATCCCGTCCTGATCCCAGGCTACTTCTGGCAGGAGGGTCAGAACTGGACCACCTGCATCCCCCACCCCCACCCCAGCCAAAGGAGGAAGGGGCGGCATGGGGAGAAAGTCACACCCTGGACCCTTCCTATACCTGGCTGCAAACCGCACACCCCCCAAAACACACCTCCTGGCATCAGGAAGAGAACCAGGTTGGGGAGCAGGACTAGTGGGAGGCACACGTGGCCCTCAGCTCCCTTCCCCCTCTGACAGGACCTGGGTTCAGAAAAGGATGCCTCCACCATAGTGAAACCGAACCAGTGTGATGACAGGTGGCACTGCAGTGATAGGGCCTCTGGCTGATACAAAGCAGACTCTTCCCAGGCCGCATGGGAGGCTGGGAAATGGAGCAGAGTGTCAGCCTGGACAAAATGGAGCCCTGGTAGTAAAGCAGAGCAGAGCCCGAGTGGCACCTGCCGCTGGGGGAGCCGGGTATTTTCAGTCACATCTCAACCTACTCAGTTCCTAGAAAAAGCACTCTGGGTAGAGAGGAGCAAGCCAAGGAGGAAGTATTTTCCTTAGAAGCCAGAAAGCTGCAGGGGAGGGTCACACAAAGCTGAAGGTCCCATGGCCCCCACTCGGCCCCCAGGGGAGCAGAGGGACGATGAGGCCATTTCTGGTCACTCCTCTCCCCTTCTCCCCTGATAATGCCGAAGAACAGGCCTGTGACTCAGTTCCGGCAGGAGAATGAAGCAACGTCTTGGGGAATTTCCAGGACTGTTTCCTCACACTCAAAAAGTCATTCATAGAAGGGAAGCACCCTCTTCCCAATGTCTGGCCTTTGCCTCCCATTATGTGAGAATGCAGTGCTTAGACCCGCGGCGATTCGGAGACCAGGGAAGACCTCACCAATGGGCTGAGCAGAAAGACGGAAGGCCCCTGAGTTCTTAACGACACTGTCGGAACAATGAAGACTAGAATTGGAACATCTCCATTTTGCAGGCTCCAATGAAATAATGGATCCAAGCACTAAGTAACAAACAGCCTTAATAGCTGTTAATATCCCAAAGGGAAAGAACTGGGCATCGTGTGCCTCCTGATGAAAGAACACAACATCCATGAAGCATTCTTATCAAGAAAAAAACCTAACCCACATCTGAGCAAGCCTCAAAAGTCAACTACCATGTGATACACCACATTAATAGATGAAGGACAAAAACTAAATGATCAGCTCAACTAATGCAGAAAAAGCACTTGACAAAATTCAACACACTTTCATGATAAAAACACTCAAACTAAGAATAGAAGGAAACTATCTCAACATAATACAGGACACATATGAAAATACATGTGCCACAGCTAACATCATACTCAATGGTGAAAGACTGAGAGCTTTTCCTCTTAGATCAGGAACAAGGCAAGGATGCCCACTGCTGCCCCTTCTGTTAAACATGGTACTGAAGTCCTACTAAACAATTAGGCAAGAAAAAAAAATACATAAATAAAAGGCATCCAAATTGGAAAGAAAGAAGTAAAATTTTATCTGTTTTCAGATGAAATGATCGTATATGCAGAAAACCCTAAAGATCACACACACACACACACACACACACACACACCTGTCAGAACTAATAAATGAGTTCAGCCAAGTTGCAGGATATAAAATCAACACACAAAAATCAGCTGCATTTCTATACATGAACAATGAACAACCTGAATAGGAAATTACAAAAACAATTCCACTTACAATAGCATCAAAAAGAATAAAATATTTAGGAGTAAACTTAACTAAGGAGGTGAAAGACTTGTACACTAAAAACTACAAAGCACTGCTGAAAGAGATTCCAGAAGGCACAAATTAATGGAAGGACATCCTGTGTTCATGAGTTGGAAGATTTAACATTGGTAAAATGTCCATACTACCCAAAGCAATCTACTGATTCAATGTAATCCCCATCAAAATCCCAACAGCATTTCTGCACAAAAGAAAAAAAAATCCTAAAATTTATATGGGATCTGAAGGGACCCTGAATAACCAAAACAATCTTGGAAAAAGAAGAATGTCAGAGGCCTCACACTTAGTGTGATTTTGAAACATGTTATATACAAAGCTACAGTAATCAAAATAGTGTGGTACTGGCATAAGGATAGACATATAGGCCAATGGAATAGAATAGAGAGACCAGAAATAAACTCTCATGTATATGGTCAAGTGATCAACAAAGATGCCAAGGCCACCCAGTGGGGAAAGGACAGTATCTACAAATGGTACTGAGAAAACTGGATATCCAAATGCAAAAGAATTAAGTTAGACCCTCACTCCACACCATATACAAAACTTACAATGGATTAAAGGTCCAAATGGAAGACCTAAAACTATAAACTCCTAGACAAAACAGAGAGAAAAGTCTTACGACACTGAACTTGTAATAATTTCTTGGATATAATAGCAAAAGCACAGGTAACAAAAAGTAGAAAAGCGGACCACAGCAAATTTTAAAACTTCATGTTCAAAGGATGCCCCTTCTCTGCCACTCAGGCAGCTCCCCACACCCCTCAGGTCCCTGCCCCACTGTGAGAGTTCATCAGCGAGCGTCCCATCCCGCCACCTGCCTCGGCCTCAATCAGGGGCTCCCCAGAGTCAGCGAGCGGAAGGCTGCCCCCCCGGGGTCCTCAACTGGAGATTCTTCAGGCACAGGGGACTTCTCGGAAAGAAAGTTCTCTCCTGTGGCTGGATTTCAGTTTCTTTTTCCTTCCTGGCACAGGTCCAGGCTCACCTGGATCAGCGACTGACCCCGCCCACTCAGCCTTTGCCGGCGAGGTGGAATTTCCATTTCCACTTGCCTTTTCACTTTACACACATCAGCTGGGATTGCCCGGTGAGCCCAGCTAAAAGCAGAGCCATGGAGCCAGAGAAGCAATTGGGATTTAGCCATGGCTGCACCTTGGGTCCTGGTATTGTTGACCGCGATGCTGGCCTTGGCCAGAGCAGGCCCTGTCCCCACTTCCAAGCCCACCATGACTGGGAAGGGCTGCCACATGGGCTGGTTCCAACCTCTGTCGCCACGGGAGCTGGAGGGCTTCAGGAAAGCCAAGGATGCCTTGGAAGAATCGCTCTTGCTGAAGAACTGGAGCTGCAGCTCGCGCCTCTTCCCCAGGACCAGGGACCTGACGCAGCTGCAGGTGTGGGAGCGCCCTGTGGCCTTGGAGGCTGAGCTAGACCTGACGCTGAGGGTCCTGGGGGCTGCGGCGGACTCGTCCCTGGGGGTCGTCCTGGACCAGCCGCTTCGCACGCTGCGCCACATCCACTCCAAGCTCCAGGCTTGTGTCCCAGCTCAGCCCACAGCAGGACCCAGGCCCTCGGGCCGCCTCCACCACTGGCTGCACCGGCTGCAGGAGGCCACAAAGAAGGAGTCCCAACGCTGCCTTGAGGCCTCAGTCACGTTCAACCTCTTCCGCCTCCTTGTAAGGGACCTGAGAAGTGTTGCCAGTGGAGACCTGCCCACCTGAGAACCTGGACCCTCACCCCGCCTGGGCCCGGACCTTATTTATGCACTAAGCCCCAGCCCTGCCTTAACTTATTTCCTCTCACCCCTTATTTATGGAACTGCAGCCCTGACTCATACCCATAAGAAAGTTTTATTTTTTGACTTTTGTACAAAATGTGTAAATAAACATTAAGGAATTGGGGAAAAAGAAGAACCAACTACCAATTTTCAGGAGGCTGAGAGAACAGAGGAACAGGTTAAACAACAGCAAGGACTGCAATCAGCAAAACAGACTCTGGCAAGCTCTAAAGGACGAACAGTCTGACGTCTTCAACAAACACAGTTCAAGGGGGAAAAAAGAGAAAAAGAAAAACGGGGCCCCTGTACTCTATAGACACAGCCTTTAGGGTAAAGGTGATTTAAAGATCTATCCACCAACTGCAATGTGGAGGCCTTATTTGGGCCCTGATGCAGACAGTTTTAAAACTATGGATTTATAAGACAGCTGGATGTGGGAACATTGACTGGATATTTGTTGCTATTAAGGAATTGCTATAAAAATGTAGATGTGATATCGTTTTGAAAGTCCTTGTCTTACAAGATAGACATACCGAAATATCCAC